GTGAATACAAATAAGCCGTGTATGACTTTTACTGCCTACAGAAATCTAGTGTTGTGACAGCATTGCCGGATTTAGAGTCTTTAAACTCTTGTCCCTGTGCTGCTTAAATCTTACTCTAATTATTCATAGCTTAGCAAGTAAAATTAGGATGAAAATTGGCGTAAGAAGACAGAAACGAGCACTCACGCTTTATCTGATTTGAAGGATTTGTCACATGCTGGGCAGTAGAGATCATCATATTCATCAATCATCAGGTCGTCTCCATCAGGCTGCTCCGATTCTGTGAATGCAAAAATGCACCAAAAAAGAATTAATGTATGAAAACATATTTATATGATTAAAATTTAGTAAATAAAATAAAAATTAAAAACTAGGCTACCTTTGCAATGATTAACTTGGTTCTAGGTCCTAATTGGGCCACGTTTTGTCTGGTAAAGGTTATTACTGGTAACGTTTTTGAGTGGCTGCACATTACATAGTGATGAAGCAACGGAGAAATGAAGCTAAAATCTCACTCACCTCCTTCTTCACCGTTCTTCTCCTGAGCGTCCATATCGAGCTCTTCCTCCTCACTCTCAGATGCATCTCCAAATTGCTCTCCGTACTGAGCTTCCATCTGCTGCAGCTCCTTTTCAAGTTCAGACATGGCCGCCCAGCTCTGCTCCTTGTACTCCTCCGCCAGCCTTGGATGGACATTAAAAATGTGTATGATGCAGAAACAGAGAAAAAGAAGTCACATCTATCCCCCGCTATCCATTCTCTACTCACTTGGCCTGGCTGAGCTTCTGTTTCCGTCTCAGTTCCTCCCCCTTCTTGATCTTCTCGGCGTTCTGTTCCTCGACCAGCTTCCTGTGGGCCTGCACACGGCGGTCACGCTTGCGAACAAAAGCCACTAGCTGTCGCACCAGGTCGTTGCGCTCCTTTCGAGCCTTGTCTCTGGTCTTCTTGTTTTCCTTCTCCATGGCCCTCTTCTCCCAGCGGTTGGAGGCCTGCCTCGTGTCATATTCCTCCTTCCATGCAAAGTTTTTGCGAGTGCAAAAGCTCTGCCAGTAGCCGTAAAACACATGCACTACCTGTGATATGGAAATAGAGACTGATTAAGTTAACCTAGCAGAGATCCTACTTTACTGGTTCACTAGTAATATTTCAGTCACATTTTGTTTTCACTTAGTTAAAATAGTTCAGGATAAAAAAAATCAAGCAGTTTCTCTGCATCAATCAGAGGCGTAAACTTGATACAAACAATTTGAAATGTGGGTGTGGCTTACGGTATCATAATCACTCTCAGAGTCTCCAAAGGGAGGAAACTCCTCGTCCTCTTCCTCGTCTTCCACTTTGCTGTTTTCCATCTCCTCCTTAACAATGGACTCAAAAACATTCCTGTAAACTGTGTAAAAGCCCTGGGGTGAGAGAGTGGATAGAAAGAGGAAATAGCAAATGAGAAATTTAGTGTTCTGAGAGGCAAATAGAATTTTTCATGACGCATGTTAGAGTTATGCAACCGCAGGCGGCTTTGATTTATACTTCTGTGTTGTCTTTCCTACTTAAATCGGCTAGCAACAATATAATAAGGAGTGCAGTGGTTTCACTCAGGCATGTTCAGTAATCGTGAGTGATTGGTACATTAAGAAATCGTGTTTACATCCAAGCACTTGCAAGATAGCATCAAGTAGAATGTTCACATTTGAGTTTAGCCTGCTTTGTCCTCTCTCACAAAGGAGCATCAGATGAGACAGTGTATCGGATGAGACAGGTATTAACAGCACTAACTAGTTTATTTCATGTGACTTTAAAAACCTCCACTTTTGGAAACATTGGCAAGATATCATGTAACCTGTTTTTCTTTGTCTAAAGGAGGAATAAAAAGGTCTGATCTGCTTAAAGGTTTGAAGCAACTGCTTGTGCATACCAAGCTACTTTATTCTTGTACACATGACCAAAAAAACCCCCCAAAAGACACATACCTTCTCGTCATCTCCAAAGCCAGAGTAGCAGGTGACCGTGAAGTACTGCAACAGATCGACGCTGTCATCTTCATAGTCGCCACTCAGCCCTCCCTTCAGCAGAGCCTCCCTGTGATTGTTATACCTGCCACACAGGAAGAGGCACAATCAATAAGACATATTTACTGCACATGGCTTGTACGTAAACCAACAAAGATATTTTAGCCAGGAAGAGCTTTGTAATCACAGCCCTGCTGCTGCTGAGAGTCACCATTTTTGAATAGATAGTGATGAGATACCCACCAGGCTCTCTCCTGTGGATCACTCAGGACATCATAAGCTGCCTGAATCAGTTTGAACTGCTCCGCCGCCTCCTCAGCATTGTCCAAGTTTTTATCTGGAAATTTCAGAGGAAAACCACAGTCATAGAAGAGTGAACACTTTTCCTGATGGCTTTTTAGGGTCCAAGTTAGTGACATAACATAATAATACAAAGACCAACAGATAAAAAGTCTCAAACACTGAATCCTAACAATCTTATAAGACATTATATGACTTGTGGGGTACCAGATGTGCTATATAGAATGTTATGCACGTTCTAATTATATATTTTTGTAGAACTTTAAACTTAAACAAAGAAACTCTTCACACATCTTTTTTCATGAGATGAATGCATATGAGAGGGATGAACATATCTCAAAGTTTCAGATAGGCTCCTGCACACCGTCACACTTGCAAAGATATATTTATCCATGACATTTTGGTGTTAGAGCTTCATCAGGCAAACGGTTTGGTGCAAAGAGAGGAAATCCTATATAGAGTGTGGGTCTAACTCTGCCACAAATCACACTTTTTACATCTGACTTCCAACATAACTCAGACAGTTGCTTTCTCCAGAAATTTTCTGATGATTCAGCAGTTGTCGGTTGTATTAAGGGGGAGTGTGAGGTGGAATACAGGGGCATGGTCAGGGACTTTGTGGACTGGTGCAACCTCAACCACCTTCAGCTTAACATTTCCAAGACCAAGGAAATGCTAGTGGACTTTAGGAGGAAGAGGCCAAAACTGGATCCAGTAGGGGCACAGAGGTGGAAGTTGTCTCCAGCTATAGATACCGGGGAGTACAGCTGGACAACAAGCTGGACTGTTCCAGCCACTTGGAGGCAGTGTACAAGAAGGGACAGAGCAGACTGTACTTCTTAAGAAGGCTGAGCTCAATAAACATCTGCAAGCCTCTTTTGTGCTCCTTCTACCAGACTGTTGTGGCCAGTGCACTTTTCTTCAGTGTTGGGGGGAGGGGGCTCGCACTGCAGACAGAAACAGACTCAATACACTGATAAAGAAGGCGAGCCTTATCATTGGGGTTGAAGTGGACACAGTTCAGCAGGTGGCCGGGGGGAGAATGCTCAGGAAGCTGAAGACTCTATTGTGAGCAATGAAGCCCACCCCCTACATGTCATGGAGGTGTCTGGGCAGAGCACTATCAGTCAGACTGATTCCTCCAAAATGCAAGACTGAACCCAGCAGGAGGTCCTTCCTGCCAGCTGACATCAGACTTCATAATGTGCAATAAAAGCCACATGGCTGGGTGCTGCTATAGATCACCTGGTTGAGCTGGTGACCCATGTACAGGGGCTGTAGTCCCCGATGCAGCAGCCATGGGTTCGAATCCTGCTCATGGCCCTTTGCTGCAACCCCTTCCCCCATTCCCCTCCCCCACTTTCCTGTCTCTCTCTCTCAACTGTCCTATCTAATAAAGGCAAAAAGGCCAAAACAAAAACAAAAAAAAACCCACATGGCTGCATAACTATGACACTTTATGTACACATGTTTTTAAAATCCATCTTTGCACAGGGTAACATTTGCACACTGAGTACCTATTTATTTATCTTATTTTTATTTTATATTGTATATTTTGTTTTATATTTCATGTGTGCCTTCAGTGACAGGTGTCTTGTGGGATTGTCTGTGTTTTTTAATGTAGCCACTGTAACAAAGTAATTTCCTGTAAAAGGATCAATAAACTAACTATCCTATCCAATAAGTGCTAGTGTAATGCAATAATCCCAAAACCCCCTTCTACTGGCAGACAGTTTAAATAACATACAGAAAGTTAGAAAACACTGTACAGAGCCATAATCATAAATGTTACTGCATATTTACATGTTAGTAACTCTTGTAGGGGTCATTTACATGGCATATAAAAAGACCCTGAGGCAATTGCAATAAGAAAGAAAGTTTGCAAGTTAAACTTTGTGCTAGAGTCTGTTTGAACCTTTCAGACTTTAAAGATACCTTTACAAAACCCCCTTACCATCCCAAAGTAAGCTAAAAACTATTGCATGTGGCACATAATAGACCAGATCTTCCCTGCCACACCTTAGCATTGCTAGCAACTGGTATTAGCTGAATTTATCGAGGCTGATTTTGGACTTTACTGTAGTGAAATTCTGACATCTTCACATCAGGGGACTGTTCTCCCCCCACAAGGTTTCTAATTCAACTTACCTGGATGCCATTTCAAGGCTAATTTACGGTAAGCTTTCTTCAAATCACCGTCTCCAGCGTCCCGTTTCACGCCTAACACTTCATAGTGACACTTCATCGTTAAAGCAACTCGACTCTCAAGGTAAACAATAAGAATGCAAACGTTTTCTCAGGCTAGGCTCACTTTAGCATCTAGCTAGCTACAGTATGCTAGCGACCGGCCAGCATCTCTGCTTTATCTCTAAAAACAAACAGACTTCTTAAGTGGTAGCGACAATGTTGTGATGTTTGGACCTTACATATTCAAACCTATACACTGTTCTTTGTCGCTGACAACAGCTTTAATTCCTTAAGTTACTTCACGACGCTTCTTGTCACTGTTAGCTGTGTCCTGTCTGGTGGGATGCCGCTTAATCTCGCGAGACTTGCTCTTCTTTCCTTTAAAATTTCAGCAAACTCGAAGCTGCAAGAGATATTTGTTGCCCTCTATAGTTCAAATTTGATCTGTTGATAGATTTGTTTTTAATTATTGCACTAATTTAGGTAAAGACTTCAGTTTAGAAACATTCCTACATCAGTAATTCCACATTTTAAATTCACTTTCTCGCATTTTACACCAACTGTTGGCTTTAAGGCCCATTTCATTTCTCTCCTGGACAAGACATGACTAGTTTTGCTATTTTATATGCTTCTCAGCAGTTGCCCCCACTTTGCACCCATCTATTAAATCAGGATGTTTTACATTTTACGTCCAATTTGGGTTTTGGCCTTTACTCTCAAGGCTGCAGCTGAGCAAGCGTATTAATGCACTTCATAAAACTTCTTCCCATTCATACATCTATTCATTAGTTAACTGAGGGCAGAGATTTCCATCCAATTAGTCCCTGTAAAGACCCCCTCCAGTGGAAATCAACATTTTTATCTGGTTAACATGTCCATACAATGTTTTTTTCTTTTTCTTTTTAATATTCGCGAAGACACATCATGAGCAAAATAAGCAGTCAGCACCGAGGCATATCTACCTTGAATCTGTAGTAACAGTGAGACTTTCTGTATTTTTTTTCCTCCTCAGAGTGGTCATAAGTGATATCAAGCTGCATCAAATGAGGAGTGAAGAGAGGGACAGAGACACAAAATTCTGCATATTTTGGAGGAAGCAACTGTCCAGGGTTACATCGAAGTCATTTCCAGGCAGGAGGAGGTTATTTTAATGGGAAAAATGTGACACTTTGATGCCCTGTAAGTTTATTTTAGGGGTAATCAACAATCAAACAACAAACGATCAAAGATGGACGTTAAATAGGACAAAATATTTCAATTTCTCCCTCACATTTGGCATTATTTTTCCTAACATCGTAATCCAAGGTCATTTTTAAGTGATTATTTTTGTGTCTAGTTTTGTATTTTGAAAATAATCACTAAAAATGTATATTTACTTTACTGGTTGCTTGTTGTCCATCATCACTTCATGCCTACATTCCCGTCTGATAATAAAGACGATAACTTACAACACACCTTAACTGCCAAACATCTCCGTTATAATGAATCTCTGTAATATTCAGCAGTACACGACCTTACTGTCATTAGTTATCCCATGATGCTCTCTAGTGGTGGCTGGAAAACTTGCATCTTGTTGCATGTGCAAAGGTTACTTCCTTGGATCGAAAAAATTTGAGGACTTTTGAGGACCTTTAAAAAGCTAATGTTAAATATTTCTCAAAAACATGTCCATATAAAGTCTGTCTTCAGAAGGATGTGATGTGAGAGGAATTATGGAAATGGCCAACAGCTCCAGGTTGAATCTAAATTACCCTATGTTTGCTTGTACTTAATTCAATAAATTGTAAATCAGTACATTAAATACTACATATATATGTATTTATCCAACCTTAAGATTTTTTGAGATAAAACTCTTGTTTTTAAGTGAAACCCGGCCAAGAAGGCACACTGACATGTGACAAAAGTAAAACACATTTAAACAACTAAGGAACTAAAGATACATAAAGCACAATGTGGCTTAGAAATCGCATTTTCTCTCTTCATTTTTATATCTCTTGATCTGACCATTGAAGTGCGCCAAGAAGAAAAGCCTATCAAGCCGTAGCCTGTTCTGAGGGTTGTACATATGTGCAAAGACTCATGTTAAGAACTGAACCAACTGTTTAAAGCAGAGTTTCGTCAGATTGTAATATACATTATATTTTTTAAAGAAACTTTCATCTTTTAATGAAAACTGCAAAATGGCCCACATGTTTTACTGTGCTTTTATTGAAAGTGTCTTGACATTTTGCATTATTTGTTGGTTTGGAAATGCTTCTGAAGCACAGAGGAAGTCTGTAAGAAAGACAGTAACAACACTACCCAGCCTAGATTGTATTTATGAATGCCGGGTTATGATGAAGGCCGATACTATCGTGGCTGACGAGAGGCAGCCAGTTGCCTCCTTCTTCAAATTGTCTTATGATCTTATTTCTATTCTGGAAAGCACTTTGGCTGAATGGCTTTAGTTTGAAATGTGCTATACAGATAATTTATTACTTAAATATGATTATGAGTAAAAGAAATTGTCACATTTCATACACAGAGAGAAAAGTGTTGATTATCGTTTATCCTAGTAACATATATCTCTGTTTACTTTAATTTTAAGTCATGTTTTGTTTGTGTGTGTGTCAGGGCCGGCCCTGACCAATTTCATACAGTAACACAAACTGTATGCATGTATTCAAGCTTTTATCTAAGTATAAACAACACACTAAATAAAACTGAAGAAACAAGTGACCTAAATTAAAAATACAATATAAATAAGACATTGTAGGATTACAATAAATGTTCTATAGCTTGTTTATTTATTTTCTACTATTCATAAAACAAAGGACTGTGGACCATTTAGGAATCTGATGTAGAGTGCTCTCATTTTATTTCAAATCATTTTTGATACAAAAGAAAGAAAGAAAGAAAGAAAGAAAGAAAGAAAGGAAGGAAGAAAGAAGGATGTTTAGTTTTGATGTAAAAGGTTTCAGTTGTTGAATTAAAAACGTGAATGAACTGTTTGTCACTCATTGTTAGTTACTTAGTTTAACTATGAAGCTATAATGTGTGGGGGCATTATTGTAGCAAAACTATTTGTCAATGCGTATGGAGAGTTGTCTGTCTGTATTTGTCAATGTGTGAAGGGAGTTGTCAATGCGTACAGAGGTATTCGTAGTTGAAAAGTTTACGCATTCGAATAAAAGTGCTGAAAATACAGACACATCACCAGTTCCGAGTCTAGCGGCTAATGTCTGCAGTTCCACCTCCCGCCGCCAGGGGTCTCTGTCTCCGCTCCGCCCGCCTGTGTTGTTTGACTTCAGGTCACGCGAGAGTTGCGTCTGCGTACAAACATGTCGGCGTTCAAGAGAAAACGTGGAGGACAGGGCTCTGCTAATAAAAAGGCTAAAAAAGCTAAATTTGTCGCAGACGGAGGACAAACGCCAGATGAAGCCGGACAGGAGAGTAGAAATGAAGTCACAATCCCACCACCGGTGTCCAAGGTAAGCGTGCGAGCTTCTTACCGAGCAGGGAAGTTAGTTAGCTAGCCGGCTAACTCCAGTTCACAAACACACCAAGGGTTTATTTTCTTTACTTTAAATGTTGTCATTCTTGTACTAAAACTGCTAACAACATGTAGCTACAACAAATACCCTGAGTGCTGTCATTTAGTATATAGTATATTACAGAGAAACTCGTTAAATGTCATTATTCTCAGTCTGATTTCACCACTAAGGCTGATCAAACACAATGTGATTGGCTGGATGTTATTACAATGCTACATGGGAAATGTTTTTTACTCTGTAACAATAAAGGTTTGATTTTATAAGATACATTTTCTTGAACAGGGCAAGTGGACCAACAAGGAAAGAGTTCTCATTTTCTCCTCAAGAGGGATCAACTTCAGGACGAGACACCTGATGAAAGACCTGAAGACCATGATGCCTCATTCAAAGGAAGGTTTGTGTCACACATGTTCTTACAAATGAATATCTGTATTGTATGTTAAGGAGAGCTGTAAAATAATAATAACACCATCCTCTGCCTAGATACCAAAATGGACAGAAAGGACAAGTTGTTTGTTGTTAATGAGGTGAGTCTGTTGTTTTATACACGTTCTTATATAATCATATATATTTTATAGCAGAGCTTAAGATCAACGTTGTTTTGCAGGTGTGTGAAATCAAAAACTGCAACAAATGCCTCTTCTTTGAGGCCAAGAAGAAGCAGGACCTCTATATGTGGTGAGTATTTGATCATCTGACCCTAAAGCCTGCTGAGTCAGTGTTGAAAAGCAAAATCTAAAGTAGATTCAACAATGTTTTTGCCTTGCAGGATTTCAAACAGCCCTCACGGACCTTCTGCAAAGTTTCTGGTTCAGAACAGTGAGTTACTTCTCTCCTCCATTTTTAAATGCGTGGACATCTGTCATGTGTTGGAATTTATTTATTTATTTATTGTTTCCCCCACAGTTCATACTCTGGCTGAACTCAAAATGACAGGAAACTGCCTCAAAGGATCCAGACCGCTGCTCTCATTCGATCCTGTGAGTATCACAGGCCAGAAATGAAAGAAATGAAGACTTTGTGTTGATTCATTGTATCATTAATGCAAATTCTAGTCAGGATTTGTTGATAAAAGCAGCTATGTGCCACAACGATGGTTAGACCAGATATTTGCAGTGATTTCTAAGGCTGAGTAATGAACAGATTTGCTTTCTTTGTTGTTTGCTTGTAGAAAATATGCCTTTATGTCATTTAAATATGATCAATTCTAACTTTAAGTTCTTCTATTACTTTGTGTTCATCCCACAGAAATTTGACAAGGAGCCTCACTATGCTTTACTGAAAGAGCTCTTCATCCAGGTGTGTTTTTAATGTACAAGATCCCTGACATGGTGCAGACATAAGTACTGACTGTACCTGTTGTATCAGACTAACAAACAATAACTTCTGTCCACGTTTAGATGAAAAATGTAAAGTGCAATGTTATTTCAAGTGTGAAGTGTTCACCTTAGGGCACAATGATATGGGCTGTGTATTTTGATCATTGTTTAGACGCAGCTTTTGCTTTACTTTGTTTGGAAATTTGAACAACTTGTCTTTTCAACTTCGAGGAAATATTTATTGAGTTTTCTCGTTGTAGACTTTCTCCACTCCACGCTATCACCCTAAGAGTCAGCCTTTTGTGGACCACGTCTTCACATTCAGCATCGCAGACAACAGAATATGGTTTAGAAACTACCAGGCAAGACTTCACCACACTTCATCATCACATCCAGGAGTTATCAGATATTTAGTTTCTTTGAGAAGAACGTTTTCATTTTTATTCCTCTATCCACTCTATGTGTAGATAATTGAAGAGGATGCCTCAATAGTGGAGATCGGGCCTCGCTTCGTTCTCAACCTCATCAAGATCTTCCAGGGGAGCTTTGGAGGGCCGACGCTTTATGAAAACCCAGATTTCCAGTCTCCCAACATGGTAAAAATCCAGTGCATGGTCGTTAGAATTTATAAGCATGTGATGTTATCGGATCACATTTAATATGCCTGAGACATCACACGTTTCTTATGTTGGTCACGTTTCTTTTTGTTCACCAACAGCACCGGCGAGAGCTCCGACTGGCGGCAGCAGCCAAAGTACGCGAGAAGCAGATGGTGAAGGAGCTGCACAAACTGAAGAGGGCAGAAGTGAAGGAGAATGTGGACAACGACGTTACAGCTGACGTCTTCCTAACACCAGCAGAGGAGAAGCCTGTTCACATCCAGACAGAAGCACCGGAGCCAAAAGTGGTGAAGAAAAAACAGAAAGCTTTCAAAAGACAAAGGATGCAGATGGGACGCAGGTAACTGGATGGACCGGATGAAGCTGCGTGCATGCCTTACGGCTGCCATGATTCAATAATATCTGAAAAAGAAATGTGGGAAAACAACATTGCAGTCAGGTCAAGAGTTTTCCTACCACATACTTGGCTGTTGTAGAGAAAGTCTTTGTTATGAACATGTTGCGTTGAGTGTGTGTTGCCACAATTTGTGGACTGATGTTTTTCTTTTCCCTCAACATGAGGATTGTGCAGATTGTAGCTGGACGTCAGTCATGAATGATACAATGCTGCAAACAATATATGCCCATCCTTTTATAAAAAAGAAAATATTCCATTAAAAAAAAAAACTTGTTTATTGAGTTTCAGTGAGTACAATTGTTTTCTATGTCATGGAAATAAAACGATTTCAACTTGCTGTCAGTATCATGTGATGTATGCTCCAAACAAATGTCTCTGAAAGGTGTCGGGTAGCAGATTCAACATGAGGGACAATCGTGGCAGTGTGTATAGAAATCAGGTCAGTGGAGTAGATTTACTGAACACAAGCTTCACTAGACACCTGGAGTAAACTATCAGTGTGCCATGTCTTATTTATGGGCAGTCAGCAAGCTCACTGCAGGTGTTAAAAGATGAGAATGGATATGCCCTGTAAGCCCAGACATCATGACCAACTGAGCTGTTAACTTTGTCACAGAAAACATACTGAGTGACTTAAAACAGCTGCGTCTCCGTAGTTACAAACAATGCTGTCATTTTTCATATCCAAGTTCATGAAACTGACAAATTCAGAAAACGTTGATAGTGGTGTAACTACACACATTCATAACTAGATCAGACAGGTGACATTATATTGATCAACCAGTTGATTTTGCAAAACTGCTGCTTCTCCCACCGTTGTGATTATGCCCACAAGTCCAGCTGTTTTTCTTCAACCTACTGGCTCCTCTGGTCGAGTTCGTCTTCTTGTTATCGTGCTCAGTCAAAACAACTGGCCGCCACTGAAGTTAAGGTGCTTCCTAAAAGTCCAATCTCACTGGCTGTCTTCAGTCTTCCTCCACCTCCTCGTCTGGACAGCAGTAATATTCTACAAAGCAGATCTGTCCATCATCGTTCCTGACCAGGTACTGCAGAGAGAGGAAACCCCTGCCGTCTGTCCGTACAGAGACTTTACAGGACAAAGCCAAGGCCTTGGTGGACGGCTTCAGTAGGGACATCTTGTATCTGTCAGAGTTTACAGAGAGGACAACAACGAATGTGGTGCTTTAATAAAACTCATTACAGACAGACACAGTGACAGTATTCCTCAGTGTTTTGTAGCAGACATTTTGACATGAAATCACTGGAAAGACAGGTGTAAATAAAACTACTAAAGGCTGCATGTTGTTTAGGTTGTCCAGCTCACAGGCATGTTGATGGAACAGAGCTATTGTTAATGGTATTAATTACCTTTAATTGTGTTTCCTGCCAAATCAACTCTATTGTAGTATAGAGCTGCATGATTTAAAATATAAGCTGTCAGATTTTAAAGAAAGGAGTCTCAAAGGGGCTGAAAAGTTAATTGCGCCACTGCAGTTGAACGTAACTCAATTCCAGTGAAATTATACAAAGGCCCTCCACACACAATCACATCCCTCAACTTCTTTTGGCTGATTAGACCTCTGATTAGGATCTATGCTGACACAGTCCTGAGGAGGGGTCCAATTAATGATGCTTATTTAGTTTATTTGCCACCATTTAGGGTCAAACAACGGTGTGTAGAGGTATGGAAGAACAATTCATAAGCTCTCTCCCAATATTGACAGCACTGGTGAGTAGAAAAGTGCTGAATGTGAAGTGTTTCCAATCAGTGCCACACTGTCACAAATGTGCCCGTTCAGGCTTGGAGGTGTGAGGACGTCCATCAGAGCTCACAGGGACACACTCTGGCTAATAAGGACAAATACTGTACATGGCACAGTGGAGCTCACATGATTAGAACAAATAAGTAGAATCAAGCATTCCAGTTGGTCAGTGCAAAAATGCACTTTGAGAAGCTAAGAGGGCAGAATAAAATTTAACCAAGCATTTAAACAGAGTTACTTAGAGGCACATAGATCTACAACACATCAGAGAGATAGCACATGATATTATTCTAAATAGTAAGGTCCAGGCTGTTCCAGATTTGCAATATCATTATTGAGAATCTTATGAGGAAGAAGTTCTGCTATAACTTTGGACAACTTCTGTAATATTTATAAAGAATCCAACATGTCATAAACCTCATGTCTGTAGATCATGCTCGATCCTAAAGCTTAGTCATCACAAGTTGAAGGTCTTCAGCAGGCGTTAAGAAAATAAATACCCCAAATTCATCCACTACTTTGTGTCTGTCACTCTTAACTTTTGGTCATTGTGTTACCATCTCCAGTTCTCCTGCCGTTTTATTTCTCTTTAATCTTAATATTGCACACGTCTTTTTGTGATTCTGCGCTCACCTGTTGGTTTGTGTCTTGGTGCATCGGAACAGCTCCATCATGTCTGAGTCTTTTGAATAATCATAATGGGCATTTCCAGAGTTTCCAAACGTAGACAACCTGAAGAGTAGAACAAATGAAAGAAGGATGAATTCAAAGGTAGTAAGAGCTATCTGTGGACAATATTTGTAGAATTCAAGAATTCATTAATCTTTCAGTATTTGTAATGGGACAGGTGAGGAGAATGATTCGGGGCAACAAAAAGAAGTTGTGACACGCTGCTAATTAATGGTCATTTTCCTGAAAATCTACATTTTGTTATGACAAATTTCCCGCAGAAGGTCACTGCACTGAACTTAAGCTATGCATTAACTGTAGCACAAGTGCTGATGGTGTGTTGGACCTGATTTTTGTCACCGAAAATCAAACAAAAAAGGCTAAAGAAAGTGTATGAAATAACTGGCAGTTTAGTTATTGAGAGGACGTTAACGGTCTTTCTTTTCAGCAACATCATCACAAACCAGTACTGTACAGCAGAACAGGTGGTGAAGTTCTGACAGCACACCTGAAGTATGGCTGACTGGGGGACATGGTGATCTGTAGCACCTCACTGGTCATGTCCAGTTCAGAGAAGGCTTCCTTCAGACTCTCTGACTGTAAGATCACCTTTGAAAAGAGACAGAGGTACATGATTAGTAGTGAATTATGGTAACGTTTTTATGTAACAGCCACAGACATTGCCATATACATCTATTACTAAAGTATTTGAGAAGCAAGGAAACCATCACAACCAAAAAATATATATATTTCTGTTAACATAAAGCTTCTAAAAAGACTGGTTCATGTTAGTTTAATATTTGTTTTTGTCATTCAATTTTTTTGTGGATTTTTAATATTCCAGTTTTATTATATAAAAACAGTAAAGCAAACCTTGTTCGTGACATTGCTGCTGCAGAACTCAAAGTCAATTGGTTCTTCTGGTTCTTGTGTGTTAATCTTGCAAACAGTCACCACACCAGCCTCCTCCAGGAACAGTGTCAGAGGGTAACCGTACCCCCGGTAGCACATCCGCAAGGCTGTTGATACTCCTGCAACATCATATGGAGGAGGTATTAAACATGTTGAGTAATGTGACAGGTGGATATTAATCCAACTATGAGAAAAAAAAAATCTGGTTTTATTTATTTGCCCATTTTCCATATTTTTTTCACCTGGAACTGTGCTTCCACCAAAGATATTCAGGCAGTCCAGCAGAACAGTGAGGTTGATCTGAAAACCCACCAAATCTTCCTTTATGGTGTATTCTTGAAAGATCTCAGCCTGGAATGAAAAAATATAACTTTTGGGTCAGTATACGAGATATGTGGTGTCACAAAAGATATATTTCAAACCCAAACTGCAAACTATGAGTTTTCCCCTTCAGACGATCAACCAGCACGTCTACTAAGAGATCCTGCAGCGTTTGCTTCATTCAGTGCACGAGAAGAGGCGAGAGTTGTGGCAGGACAAGTTGTGGCTGCTTCACCATTACAATGCGCCTGCTCACAATGCCCTGAGCATCCGACAGTTCCTGGCTGAGAAGAACATCGCCGTGCTGGAGCAACCTCCCTACTCACCCCACCTGGCACCTGACTTCCCCAAGCTCAAGGGGGTCATCAAGGGGACCCGTTTTGAAGACGTGGACAACATCAAGATGGCTGTGACGACAGAGGGTCTTGGAAGAACCTTTCCAGGAGTGCATGGCGGCGTGGCAGAGAAGGCTGGAAAAGTGCGTTAGACTCCAGGGGGATTACTTCGAAGGGGAAAACTTGTGGTTTGTAGTTTGTATTTGAAATATATCTTCACTGACACCAGTGCTGGAACTTTTCTGACACACTTCATACCTTTTGTAAAACATCAAAACTGTGCTCATTCAAGTGGTTTACCTCCTCTGTTTTTGTAAAAAATAAAAATAACAAGCAAAACACACCTGGATGAAGGCATTGGCTTGCAGACATTTGGAGTCCTCAACAGTGACCTTTAGGCCGTTTGGTGTAGCAGTGAAGATCGCATGGTCTTTGAAGGTGATGGCTTTCAGTATGTTGGAGAGATGGCGAGCGTTATCCAGACTGGCGACTAAAACATACTGTTCGTCATCGCTCTGAGACTGGGTGGACAGAGGCATTGTAGCGCTGAAATAAGAACACAGAGATTAATAAAAACCTGTTACCAGTCCAGGTAACGGGCAAAAACATGAAGACAGCAGCTCTAATTTCAGACACGTAAAGATAAATGCATGTGCACCTCTGTTGTATAATGTGACCTCTCTTATCATTACAGTAACAACCAAATATTAGCATCGGGTTGCCAATGAATAAAAACACAGAAATACACATTTTTATTTAACCATAAGTTGCTGTAATTAGATAAATTATCAGGACACATGGACAGAATGTTACAATTTATAATTTTGTTCAGACATGATGCTGACACATTCAGTTGCTGTCAGATTAATGACAACTAATGCATGTTTAAAAAAGGCTGAACAACCAAAATGCCAACTGTATTAGTTTATAACCATCAGATAGAGTAACATTAACCAAAATATAAGAAACCAAAGTACATGTGATTCCTTTATTCTTAAGCCTACAGCAGTTTGATAGAGTATCTGAAGTTCAGTTTTGGCTTGCGTCACCGCCAGAGTCACAGTGACTCCATCTGGCCACCCCTATGAAAAACCTCTGAAACTCCAATGGATAAATGGTAAAAAAAAAAAAAAAAATTACGCTAGCTAGCATTTCTGTTTTAATACAGCTCGGATACCATGTTGATATTCAAGTCAGGAGCAAACCTCTGGCTCAAAAGATTTACGGGAAAGTGTACAGAACTTGTATGTTGCTGTGTGTAGCTTCGGCTAGGCTAAACTGTTTGGCACCATACCACATGCAACAGTTAAAACGACGTAAATAAACAGCAGCTAATCTTATGACCATGCACTATAATATCTCCCGTATATAAGCGTTTTTTTTAGTGCTCCTAGGAAATGTAAAAGCGTATCTGTGACTTACAAAACTGTAATTCAGCGACTCAGATGGATGTTTTGAAGAAAAGCGCCGGCTGCGTCACAACTTCCGCTTTCTTCTTCTTCTTCTTCGGATATTAAAGTGCACATTCCAGAGATTTCGCAGCAGAGTCCCAAACGCACCAGAGCAGTTTGTCCTGTCCACATCGGCAGTACGTGACAGTACCGGTGTTTCCTGATCTACAGAGGTAAGAATATGTACTCGGTTTAAATTGACAATCTTGTAAGTAAAATGTTGTTGAGCCTGCAGGTTTGTTAGAGTTCTTAATACCTGTCATGTCAGCTAGCTTCAAGCGACGACAGGAAGCTAGCGTTAGCTAACAGTCATGGCGTCGTAGGGAAAGTGAGTTACACATGACATGTAACGACTGACAAATAATTAACAACACACAGTAACCTCCTAGACGTGGCCTTAAGAAGTTGACAGTGTTGAAATTTAATAAATAGTAAAGCTGTGAAGGAGAGCGTCCTCCTAAGAGGTAGCTAACGTTAGCTTCCTGACAGGTCGCTGGTGATAAGGACGTGTTTACTACTCTGCTGTGAAGAATAAACTGTATGAAATACAGCTTGAGTTCACATCTTTACCCTTGAATTCTGTTTGTTGGGCTCCTAATCTCTCTACCCTGCACTTTGGTTGGCTAACTGAGAATGTTTTAAGGTTGCAACCAATAATGTCATTATCGATTATTTGTTTACTCTTTTAAACCTTATTGTCTGTTTAAAAAAAAAAACAGGAATGAACAGAAACTATTTCAAAAATAAATTCACTGTCAAATTAAATCATGTATCCAACATAATCTAAATCTATATAAATGATATATCCAACATACTCCAACATCCAAAAATGGCATACACTTTACAACATACACTCACTGTCCAAAGTAACACAGGAAAGCAGCAGGTCCTCATGTTGAAGGAGATGCCACTGAATAGTTTGTGTTGGTTCAGCAATTAGTCAGCGATCAACATGTTTCCATTGATCAGATAATTGATTAATGGAAACTTGGACTACCTAAGCTATTCTCAGCACATGGAGCGAACATCATAAAGATACTGGTACAAAGACAAGCAGTTCATTAGACATAACAAATCAATGGTCAAATGCTTTTATTTTTTGTTTTGATTTATTTATTTTTTTGTACTCTATCTTTCCTTCTTGTTTTCGTGTTTTCTGCAGCATATACTAGTAGATCTGTTCTTTAAGGTTAATGTCTTATGTAGACTTTTAAGCAAGAATGGGTGCTTTTCAGTATTCCCGTCATTACTCTCAACAGTACATTTTTCATCCCTCTGTCTGTGTTGCTAAAACGTTGAATCCCAGTGGGGCTAATTTATGAACTATTAGCCTACACATATCCGAGCAACCACCTACAACTGCGACAGCTTACTAAAACACGGGAGAATAACAAGCGGTAATCCAACAGCGATCATCCAGTCGAACAGTATCAATCATCCAGTGGTGATGTACAATCCATTTTGCAAGCTAAGCCCAGCCAAGCCCAGATAAATAGACAGATACTTCATTGATCTATCAGCAATTTACATATCATCAACATACAAGTTATATTGAGTTGACACAAGGGAGGTGAGGAAGAACACTTTTAAAAATGTATACATACATGTGCGTACAATTTATTGCACTGCATAAAAAATTAAATAAAATTTGAAAAAAGTACAAATCAAAGTTGAAAGAAAATTAAAGGTGAGATCAGATGGCCATATTGACAATTATGTAACATGTCTTGTCTGGTAAAATAAACTTAATGTCTGGATTTAGAAGTTGCAGCCCTGTGTTGACTGGGAGGAAGGCGTGTTTTTGTATTTTTGACAAGAAGTTAATCTCTCTGCTGTCCTTCTCTTCTTCAGGTTCTTCATATCGGACGTCCTGTCTGAGCCACTACCATGGTGTGCATTCCCTGCATTGTGATTCCTGTCCTGTTGTGGGTCTACAAGAGGTTCCTAGAGCCATTCCTCTACCCTTTCATTTCACCCATCATTAATACATTCTGGACAAAAAAGGCAGTCCAGGAGACTGGGACCAATGACCAAAAAGTTAGTGAAAAGAGTAACGGGACATACAAGGTAAGTCAATGAGAAAAGAAAGATTGTGTCATGATTTTATTCATTTATTTGTATGCAGTGTAACAAAGATTTAATGTTGTATTTGGAATATCAGAGGAATCACACTGTAATGATATGATCTTATTGTGTTGTGAGTTTTCAGTTTTATTCAAGTACAGAGTGGAATAGTTTATAGTGGAGCCCTGTTTTTTATGTGGTCTTGTATTTATATGTGACACCATAGTTAGCTATCTTAAGTAGTATTATTAATATTGTGATATTAAGTTCACCCCTAGTGCCTTGCTCTAATGCCGAGTATAAAAGCTGAAAAATCTGTTTATCTAAAAAATTGCACAGGACCCACTAAGACAAGTAATGACATTCTTCTAATTTACCATTATTATTGCTTGCAGCTTTTTTTTACATAATTTTTTGTTCTCATGTCTTTCAGCCTGAAAGCAACGGTGTGGCGATGGCTAATGGATCAACTATAGCAGCAGACAAGAAGACGGATTGACGGCTCAAAATGTTCTAATGCATCAGAAACAGTGTAAATATTCCATTCATATAGTATAGAGACGCTATAAATTAACTTATCAACCCTCTTTGAATGGATCGGTTTTAATAACCTTCCAAATTTGTTTGAAGCTTGTGTTTAAATTTTTCATTCATAATGTTAATATATTTTCCTCATTAATGATGAATTGACTAATTGATTTGCTGTATTGAATATTGAGTCTTAATGTAATAGTTTTTCTAAGTCAAACTTGCAGTTTAATTAATGAATAAAAAAAACCCCTTCAGATACAAAATGCTTATTTATTGTTTCCATGCAGAATTGTGCTGCCACTTACACTGGTCATTAGAGAATCTATTTAGTTTGCATTTTGTGATATTTTTAAACACCGTTAATGTGATAGCACCATAGCATAGATCTTTGTAGTTGATTTTTTACTCTCAAATCTGAGAGAAAAGAATAGATGAAAAGTAAAAATGAATTATTTAGACCAGACTCTTAAAAGCACCTCCATAGGAAAATACTGTAGGTTTTGTTTTTTTACTCAACCAGTTCAAAAGTCTTCACATCAGGCAGACGTATTGCTTGCAAGATGTAAATTTAAGTCCACGTGTATTTACTAACTGTAGAATATTACTGTATGTTACCAATACCTGAGAATTTTAAAACAAAAAAAAGGTTCTTACTTGAAGCCTTTTTCAACATTCCATGGTGTCAACTACAAATGATTTGAAACAACAAATCAGGACTCATACATCATTTCAGAATCTCTCCTCTCATTGTATATAATATATTTTACAACAGTATATGATTGTGGATAAAGAAATGGACAATAAACGACTGAATGCCTGAAAGCAGCTAAATGGACCAGAAGGGGATAACATTTGTTCGTAATCAGTAAAGGAGGATTTACAGCATTCATGTTTTGCGAAACGGATTATGCATTTGTAGAATTGAAAGGGAAAAACTGAAGATTTTATTGATTCATATTCAGAATATAGAAACTGTCTGGTCTGGGGCTGAGTTGATAACACGCCTTCCGTCTTGATGGTTTTATTTTTTGTGGTAAAATTCTGAAAGTGACTTGGAATAGGAAAATTGGTGGAATTTAAAACAATGCAATTTATGTAGCTGATGTGTCATTGGTGCTAGATCAGATTAAGAAGACACTGATCATGACAAAACATATATTTTCTTTGCTTAGACCAGCATTAAATAGTGTTTGTTGTGATGTTGTAAAGGAATGACTTGCAAGAGATCTCATGGTTGTTTTGCTCACACTTCTACTATACAAGCCTGTTGTAGCTAAGAAGGATGTCTTCAGGATTATTTGTAGGAATGTATTTGGAAGCTTTTGATGACTTGAGGTGGAATATACATACTGTAGTAAATTGCAGATGATAAAGGGAATTTTAAAGAGTTTATTTATTTATTTTAACTGTAACATTTGCACTAAATGTCATTGAACCATTTCCTCCAGTCACCAGACACTGGGTGCTAATATCTGTTGGACTGGAAATTTGCTATGTAGCAGAAATTACTACAAAATCAACAACATAGAAGAGAACTGTAGACTTAAGTATTGACCTAACAGCTAACAACACATAAATAATACACCACAAAGGCTCCTCAGTCTTTATATTCTCCCAGATGAGGCTGAAGGTTCACCACTGTAAATACAAATCCATCCATCCATCCATCCATCCATCATCTATACTCCGCTTAATCCTCACTAGGGTCACGGGAGGGACTGGAGTCTATCCCAGCTGACTCAGGGTGAAGGCAGGGGACACCCTGGACAGGTCACCAGTCTATCACAGGGCTACACTTAGAGACAGACAACCAAGCACACTCACATTCACACCTACGGACAATTTAGAATCACCAATTAACCTCAACATGTTTTTGGACTGTGTGGGAGGAAGCTGGAGAACCCGGAGAGAACCCACGCTGCACGGGGAGAACATGCAAACTCCATGCAGAAAGATCCCGGGTGTCCTCACCGGGATGTGAACCAGCGACCTTGCTGCGAGGCAACGAAGATATATTCAAAATACATTTCTACACCAATAAAATCAAAAAAACCACTTAACCATAAAACAAAACAAGCAGGCTCAACACTGAATTTAAATACATTATGTGAATTATACCTACAAATGCAGAGACACTGTATATATTATACATAAATCTCAGTCAAGAATTTCTATGTTTTGTCCTTCATCAACTAAAACTTCTGCTACAAAATGATCCATCAGATTATTTTAACGCTGTTGCTAAGTTCTCTGTGGTGGTGTTCTTTATCTGTCCTCAAAATGAGGGAGAGAGACAGAGAAATAAAAAAAAAATCCACAAACCTGAAAAACAAAAACCAGACGACCTTATTGTAGTATGTATTCACTCACAATGAAAAAGACGTCATGTGGTCAAAACTGACTCAGATTTTCAGACAGCAAATAAAATCTTATTAAATTGCCTCCACCTCAGTTCAACCACTTCACATTTAAGTGTTGTATGAATCCCATCAGGGAGAAGATACAGGACCATCAGAGCACGAACTACAAGGCTGGCAAATAGCTTCTACCCCAGAGCAATCATCACATTGAACTCTGCAATAAACAACTCTGTGAAATAATGTGCAATAATCATCAATGCACAATAACCAGTGATGTGTAATATTCAAATGTGTGCAATAACTTATATGTTTACTGCACTCTGCATTTATATATATGGGGATGGGTTTGTATTTTTATTGTATCTTTACTGTGTTTTGCTATTTTTGCCGTTTATTTTATCATTTGGGAATTTTGCATTCCCGTTTCCGTTCCGCATCTGAATCTCGTATATGCTCCTTGTATACAATGACAATAAAGGAATCTAATCTGAATCTATGTTTATGTGACAACATTTAGATCAAACAAATGTGATGACAGTATGATAGGCCTGTTTCTGTTTGTTTTCCAATATTAAAAAACAAATATAGCTGTGAAATAAATAGTGAAAAATATCATTCTAATAATTGGTAAATGTCTTGTTGTTTTTTTTTGTTTGTTTGTTTTTAAGGACATTTTCCAAAAAACTAGGTATTTCCAGGAAATTGTAGGTCTTAATGTCACATTAATTGTTTCAGGATTTATTTAATATCCATATTTATTTATTTAATGGAACATTTATTTACATTGTTACAGTCGTCCTCAAATGTATTCACACCCTCCCATTAAAGAAGGAAAAAAACAGCTGTCGCTAAAATAAATTGAAACTGAGAAAAGGAACAATAAATAAAAATGTCATGAATATCATGACATTGTTTTGGAATTGTGGTTCAATCAAAATATAAAAAAACAAACAAACAAACAAAAATCAAGCAACCATGCATGATAGGACCCATAGATTAATATTTCGTTAAACAACCCTTTGCTGCAGTCAAGTGTTTTCTGTAACACTCAATCAGACTTCTGCACATTTTCACAGGTATTTTGATTTTGGCCCACTGCTCATCAGCAAAGTGCTTTAATTTGTCCAGGAGAGGTTTTATTTTATTTTATTTTTTTAATTATTCTTTTCAACCACAATTCAAAAGCAACGTCTTATTTCACTAAATTCTAATTTAGCAAATTTTTTTATTTATTACTACTTTTTTCAGTTTTTAGTTATTTGAGTGACTATTTTGAATTTTGCCTTTTCTTTAATGGAAGGGTATGAATAAAATTGACTGTATTTATTTATGGACAATTAAGTAGGGCAGCACTGTGTTTTTGGAGACCTCTGCTGGACATTACATAAAACGCACGTGTCGCCTCCACCGCTGCGTCACCGACGTGAAGAAAAACGCCCTCATGTCGTCATCACGCAAGGGGTGGCGACGTGGAAAACATGGTGGATGGGAGTCTGTAGAGTAAACTTAGCTGTCAAAAATACATTACAATTTCAAGTATTTGCCTCTGTTAATTACATTCGTTAAAAAACTGGGACAAAACTGCAGTTCGGTGTTACCAAACAGCCTCCTGTTGACGGTCCTGCGAGCCGACAGAGCCACAGAAACTGCGAGAAGCATTTATGACAGGTAAGCCAAGCGGCCAGCTGATTGCAAACAAGCGGTGAACGTTAGCGTCTTCTTGTATAGTGAGTTATTAACTAAAGGGTGACCTGAAACGCTGCTGTGTCAGTAATTTACCAGGATATGTTTTGTGGCTAATTTTTGACTTTTAGTGTACGGTGTTGACTGCGAAAATAGCCGAGACACCGGCTATTTCCTGCAGTTGGATTCAGTTTGAGCTAGCAACCGTCATGCAAGTTAGTTCACCGGAGAAGCAGATGAATGTGCAGTCACGTAAAGGAGATACAACTAAAGGTGCATTGGATAATACACCGAGTATGGAGACAAAACACTGCTCTTGCAAGTTTACCACAACCGTAGGATATCATTTTGAAAAATAGCCTGGTTCAGTAGCATGTATGTCTTGGCATTAGCATCACTGTGTGCCTTTCATCTCCACCCATCACTACTATGTGAGGTTAGCAGACTATCCCTTGCGGCGAACCACTGCGATGTACTTGTTCTGTGCTCAAGTTCACTTGAACTGGCTACTCCTGTATGCCAAAGGTGTGTCAGTATAAGAAACAAAACACACATCCTGGTTTATTGAGTGTCATCCAGTAGGGAACTTCACTTCACGTCTTCCAGTGTGTTGGAGTGGGTAAGGATCTATTTTGCTCAGAATTTGGTTTTATAATGCGTGGACAGGGAGAACCAGGGACACTGAAAATATGTTAATCGTCACGTCAAGATACTAAGGTGCCCATATTTGAGTTTAGATAGAAGTCTATGGAAATTAAAGGATGCTTTTTTGCCTCACAGTGAAGCCTTAATGAACCCTGTGAAATGAGTTTAGACCTACATAGTTAGTGTTGGCATAGTTATTCATTATATGTGATGTCCCCTTAATAGTCAACTATTTCCTTTGCCCCAGGATTTGGCATATGCCCGGTGAAAAAGCTGTGAAAGGTGGCGAGTCTGGCTGAGTGCAGCCAGTAAAGATGGGAGCCAACACGAGCCAGGTCAGCGACCTGTCTGATAACCCCAGCCTCAAGGCTCTGGTGGGCACGGAGTCCATATCAGAGAATGACCCTTTTTGGAATCAGCTCATCTCCTTCACTTTCATCAGTCCCACTAGCAGGTAAACAAACACACATGTGCAACTATTCTGTTTAGTCTTTTACATTATGTGTCATTGTGTTTCAGTTTGTGCTCTGAAAAGACCCCACTGTTACACATCCTCTTGTCTGTGGAGTTTGAGTCCAGATGAAGAGCATTTAGTACAGCTTTCACTTCATGTTTCTCTACTTATTTCAATTAATTTGTTTATTAGTTTAGTTAAACAATACATTATTTGATTTCTCAGAATAGGATGTGGGTTCAAAGCTCTGGAGAAAGGTAGGAAGTGCACCTTGTATTGAAGATTTTTAGCCATATGATTTTCAGGGTAAATAACTTCCACACTTAATACTTTCACACTGCTTATAATAAAAACCACTGTTCATTGGAGCTTTGCATTAAATCTTAATATGCCCAGCAGAGACAAACAAAACAAAAAGCCAGAAAAGAAGATGAAATTCCTTGTGAGATTAAGAGAAATTTCTCCACAGTTGTAGACCTTAGAAACATTGGTGGAACTGTGTCTCATTAAAGATGTATAGCAGAGGGGTGTGCTACGAAGCATGGGTGAGCGAGGTATGCTGAGACAATATATGTTGAGTTTTCAGTGTCACGAAGGTGGTTCGCTTTTAGACTGATAGATTAGCACAGTAACTTCTGCTGCACAGTTAACCTGGAGGGGGTTATGTTCAGAGGTTTGGATGTTAATCGGCTGTAAGAAGCATCTGTCTTTCATCAATTTGTTTCAAGATGGTTCACTATGAACAATACAGCAACTCAGCTGGGGGAATGCATTATGACTGCAAACCCATTGAGCTGTACGCCACTAGTACCACTGAATAAGGCCATGCAATTACAGTATCCTCTGTAACTGTATGTGCGGCTGCAGGAATATGGATACATTTATTTAGTGATGGAGAAATTGCATAACTATATCTATATGTTTGGTATTGATTTGCTGCTGTTAAACTGTTGGTATTGCACCTCATCAAACATAGATTAGAATATTGTTTAATCATTTGATATTTATTACAGACAATATTATTGTGAGCATTTCTATCTTGGATCATTTGCCGCAGTAGCAGTGCTCTTTACCAGAATACATTTTTATATTTCTCGTGGCTCTCCATCATGACAACCTGTTCCTGACTGAAGTATCTGCCCATGATCGGTCAGTTTCTTGTGTAAGAAGAGTCACATCGTGAACGCCTGGGTTTACAAGGAAAGTTTATAACTGTCGTGATGTCAGTTATCTCTGACTGGGGTCTTAGATTATGTTGAGCCTGATTACACAAAGAAAGCTTGGAGATCGGATTTTTTCCAAATTTTCCACAAGCATCTCCTCAAGAGTTATTGCACACTACACCAACAGATGTTTGAAACACAGCCTTTCCACTGAGAAAGTCCTTTGAGATTCCCACCCAGGATCCAACATTAAACTGTCGCCAGGATGTTTGCAGAGCTCACCTGAGTAATGGTACAACAGGGTTACTGCCCTGATTGTTTAAGGATACAATAGTTAACCGTTAACATTTAGTTCCTTTGTAAATAGTGTTGAGATGTAAAGACAAAGGTGTCTTTATGACAGCTGGACTTTTTCTGGTGTTGCATATTCATATCGTAGGAGTGTTTTAAATATCTTTACAAAGCAATAGAGACAAAATATATTTATAACATTTAACTGACATACTTACAGTGTGACTAGACAATGCATAGGACAAACACTAAGAGAAAATCAACGGATACCTTCATGATTCAACACCTAAGTGATGCATAAGACAGCATCGGATAGCTACAGAGTACAATCTTAAAAAAACAAAAGTAAGTGATATAATGACTAAACTACAAGTCAAAGTGGAACAAGTAAAACAACAAAATAATCATATTAAGCTGCACAATTTCATAATGCAGTCTCATCTTTTTGCTCAAACAAACAGCATTAATCTCTGAAAACCAAGTGAACTCCATGCCACTGTTCTGCAATAATGTATTAAACCAGTTCTACATGAGAACCTGAAGTTACCCTCAGATCGATGCCTGGTATAATGATGATGTCTGTCCAAAATAAATGACAGGTTTATATAAAAGACAACCAAAAAAACAAAAACAAAGGAAGAACCCTTCGATCAAGATAGACAGTGACATGTGGGATGCTTTGTTCAGTTCTACCTTTAACTGATTAAAATAACTTTCTCTTGTATTGGACCAAATGACTGCATAGCAATACGTTATAATACTAATTCTTGTTTTAATCATTTGGTTGAGGCATTAATGTCCCACAGCATATTATGCATATCATTTTTCTGCCCATGACAACTTGATCGGTTTGTCCGTCCCTTACAGCTTCTCTTCTGTTACTTGTTCAGTGGCTTTGTGTTTTATAATTAAGCTGAAGGAGGTTGTGGCTTTAAATGCATGTTTTGAACCTAATTAGGGATTAACTGATCGTTGTTTTTCATGAGGACACCGATTAGTAGAAGTACAAGTAGACCAAGAACAGATAATTCGAACTGATTGACTGTACTTTTGCAGTAAAAATAAAAGTCTAGGTGTCAAAATTTTGAATACCACAAACTCTAAAATAAAGCTTTGTTGAAATGCCTCTGTTTTTATATATTTAATATGTGTTTTATTAAAGGAGATTTTTAAACATTTATCTTTCAGTATTGATAGGCTAGCATTCATTACGTATAACCAATCAGACAGCGCTGTGGACAAGACATTGATAAAGAGCATAGCTTGATTACAGACAGAGAAAGGCGGCTGCATCAGAGCCAAAGTAACATATTTTTAATTTATTATTAGGAATCGATGAAAAAAAGTAATAAAAAATTCTCTAAAAAAAAAAAATCTCCCTTTCATTATTCTGATGTTTAGCAAATAGAAATCATTTTGGTAATCCTAACTGACCTAAAACAGGAAAAGTTTAGTCTGATTTAATGTCAGACAGTGAGAAAAAAAAGGTTATATGTCTTTTTATACAGTGTATGTAAACTTCTGGTTTTAACTTTATGTGCATTCACACAGTAATCAGATATGATATTTTCAAAGGGAACGTTTTGGGAACTAGATTTATATAGATTTATCTGTTAAAAGTAAACAAAATCTAATCACCAAGCTCTGTGATGCTCTCTCTGCTTAATTTCTTACAGCCCATTTGTTTAATCCACACAAAAATCAAAGTGTAAAGACAATTCACAGTTTTATAGCTGGTTGTGTGCTAGACTATTTCTTGAGCAGGAGGTGATGCCAGGCGGCCGGCAAGTTGTTGGACTCGGTCAAGAAATAGTTCAGCACAAAAAGCGTCCTGTTAAACAAGCAATAAGAGTAGTAAATACAAAAAAAGCATTAATTAGATGCTGAAATGGCTTTATCTTGGGACAGAACCGGGCTACCAGTTTCTCCCATTTCTTGTCCATTTGCTAAATTACACAAACTGGCTGTTGCTTATTTATTATAAGGTATACATTTTTGTCATCTAACTCTTGCAAATACATGTGTTTCCAAAAAAAAAACTATTCCTTTAAAAATGTTCACATGATCCAGCTAGATTTGCCTGTTCTGGCTTGTAAAAACTAATAGGAGAATTAGTTTGCTTGCGATCATTGTAATACCCAAAGGGGAGACCATCTAAATTAACTCATTCCCCTGTAACATGCAGCGTACATGCCTGACGTGATTCCATTTGACAGAGCTGTCCACCAGCAACGAAATCAATTCTGCAATGAACTTCAGTCAACATGTAAACATGGCATCAGTTAGTGTGGACCATTAATGCCTCAGACTGATTTGATAAACAGTAATGATGCACGTCCTAACATTTCCCCGCATGTCTCATTCACACTTTTATAGGATGACACCTCACTTTTTGCCCCCGCAGACCTTTAACAAATGCAAATAAGCAGTTATTTTAATGATATTATATTATCTTTTTAGCACAGCAGCAAAGGGCAGATGACTCAAGCAATCAGCTGCCCCTGTTCACTTAACTTCTATTAACGGTTCTCTTTTCCACCTCTTGTTTCTGTTTCACAGTGGAGACTCTAAGTTGCTGGAGGAAGCTGTCATTCCCTTGGCCAAGACCCTCAGTATGTTGGATATGTATAAATATACAAAGTGTATTTTTTAATCATTTTTATGGAACAATAATTTAGACAAGTGGTTTTGGAGAATGTTAAATTCTGTGTTGTTGAAATTTCAGTTTTTTACATTTAAATAATGTCATAACAAATAATCATTTCTTGAGCTTTTTGTCATCTTAAATGCTTTTAATAGTAACGGTTTCTCCTTCATTTCTTTCCAAGTTGAAAACAATCCCAGAACAGGAAACTTTGGTGCTCTTGTGAGAATTTTCCTGGGAAGAACCAAAGAGCTGAAAATCTCTACAGAATGCCAAGAGTGAGTATGAGAACCACAGAGGGGGGAATAAACTCAGCTGACTGTGTCGGTAATGATAGACCCCGTGCGGGCCAGTTATTGTTTGATCACAGACAGGAAGGGAATCCATGTTTTTGAAAGTGAGACAAACACTGAAGTGGTTGCACTTTCCCATGAGAAAGCTGCTGAGGTATAACCATCAGCTATGTGGCCATATTCTGCACTGGCTGCCAAGCGCCGTCTCCACAGAGACTGACCCTGCCCAAGTCGCCAAATGCTTCGGGTGGGAACTCTTCAGTCTGCATTAAACATTATTCGAGGTTGAAGTTATCGCTCTCCATCTGTTCCCTTCATAACACGTTTTGTACCACAAATCTCCATTTTCCCGGTGCTGCGTAATTGGCATGTGCGAGTTGTCAAGTTTGTGGCTCTGATTAGACACCCCTGTGTTGTGAAACATTGTGGTTTGCACTGGGAGGTTCCACTTATTTATTTTCTCCTACGTTTGTTTCTCACCAACTTTTCCCCTATTTTATCTCTGTCATATATAAGTAGACAGTAACTTGTATGTCGTATCATTATCTGCTATAGAGACAGCAACCTTACTCTCATCATGTTCTTGGTTGTGAAAGTGAAGGCTGTGTCGCATTTAAAGGAAAACGCTCGCTTCCTTTCAAACGTTAGCGTTTTATATGGGGAGACAAGTATGTTCTTACATGAGCTTGTGAAAATTTGTCATATTTTGGCTTGTAGTAAAGAGAGAAGAGAAGCATATTTCAAAAGCTGGAAACAATAGCTGGACTTCAAGGAGGACCAGCGGGACAGTACTTTAAATGTGACCCTCAGTCCAAGTACGCTCCACTGATTCTGCTCCATCAGCAGCCATCACTGGAAGATAATGATTACAATGTGATAAGCCGACGCTTTATTAATTGCCTTGAGGAAATGAACTTCTTCCTGGCTTCTTTCCCTGAAGGTCGAATGTCTGGGTCAGACACTGAACGCCAGTCTTTGGCTGACTTGTCAACAAACATGACGCATACCAGGTCAAGGGACGCAAGGCTGTTGTAGAGCCTGTAGTTCTTAATCTTTGCCAAGGAGGAGGAGGTCTTACTTGAGTAAGCAGGAAGAGACAGAGTTAGGTGACCTTTCAAGTTGTTGGGAAGATGTTTTTGGTTCTTGGTTACGCTGTGTGTGTGATTTGCATTATGATTTTCCTGAGATTTGATGACATTGTGAACCTGACAACCTCCAAATTTGGTCTTGCTGATCCCAATGCATTTACACCTGGCATTAATGCCTGTTTTTATTTACAGATCTGCTGTTAATGCTGAGTGTAACTGGGGTATTAGAGCAGTTAGGATCTCATTTTCAGAAAAACACATATGGGTCAATTCATCTCAGTTCACCAAATTTTAAGAAGAATTGCTTTTGTTGCCACTTTTCATAAAACTATTTGAAGCACTATGAGTTGGAAAACCATGATTTTTTTTTTTCCTTTCGCCTGCTAACAATAATATATAACTCATCCAGTTGGGACCACTACCGGAGCGGTTTCATCTATCATACCAGCTCAGTTATTGTTTTATTATTGGCCGTAAATTCAAAAAAATATATTTTCAGTCATGTTCTTCTCATAAAGTATGTGAAGTAGAAGCCTGACTGGCACCATGCTCTACATTTTTAAAGCTTCGATTGGTGCTGATCACAGGAAATGACCCGCTCAAAAACTAATGGTGCCTATGACCCCAGATTTTACACACAGTCAACCAAATTAATATTCCCCCCTTTTAAAAATAAATCAGTCAAATTGAAATTGGGTCAGGTGTGGGGCATTTGGTGAATTGAGGTGGAATGACGAATAAAGACGTTTGCCCTATCATCCTCTTTAGACTGCACAAAAGTGTACTGGGCGACACTATGAGATGAATATGAGTAAATGTTTGCATTGAAACAACATATTACTGAAGTGTATATGTGGTCAGCCAAGCTGTCCTTGGTATATAAACAACATAAACAAATGGCACGTAGCCGGCTTTTCCATCGCTAGCAGCAGGCGCCTTTATATTCGTTGCTTCTGACGCAGCTCTGTTTGATCTTTAATGAGATGTCTTTGTTTTGTTTCTCCTCTACAGTCAGCTGTTTATCTGGCAGGCCCACAATGCACTGTTCATGATTCGCTGCCTGCTCAAGGTGTTCATCAGGGAGATGAGCGAGGAGGAGCTGCACCTACAGTTCTCCTACCAGGAGAGGGCACCAGGCTTCTGTGGAGGTGAGCTCCATGACAGATTGATTTTCTATAGGAAGGCGTGTCACTGGGAGATTGTAATAGAGCCACAAACAGGATGTAGTGGTCAACTTCAAAGGTTTCAACAAGTGTTTCTACGTGAGGATCCGTTGCTGTGGGTTCATGAAGTGACTAGCAGCTGTACAGCAGAGAAAATTTAGTTGTTCTTCTTTTACACCCCTGTGACCTTTACACAAACATCCACATCATCCACTGAAAATCTTGTGAGCAACATTCTTTAAGCTTTTTGGCTCCAGTTGAGTTTTTGCAATGCAGGAGCAAAGGTTGTATGTAGAAGAATTCCTTTTATAACTTAAGAAGGAGATGAAAATTTGACTGTAATTGAATAAACTGGAATTAAATCAAATTCAAATCATTTTAAATGGGTTCATCCATCCATCAGTTTCTTGCTGCTTATTTGGATCCAGGTCACAGTAATTTAATCGACTAATACTTTTGAGTTATTGTTCTAGCAGAAAAACAAGATGTAGTGATAAACGCTTGAAGGCCGTTATATTTTCCGCTGGTTTTCCATTGTGCTTTTGCAATTATGATTGTGAAGAAAACATTTAATGCATTATATATGGAATTAAAAACCCTATAATCCTCATTAGCTTTCTCTCAATTTCTCTCATTATTCCTCTGTATAGTGAGCATTGAAATAAGGAGGGTTGGGGCGGATAGGGAGTAGGATTGGTACCGTGGGAGATGGGAAAGCCAAGAGAGGCTGACTGTGATCAACAGGGAGCTGCTGTGTATGTCTGAAATAGTAACTCCCTCAACCCCTTGTGTAGAAACAGGGAGCGAAGACCTCCTCGAGGAGCTGTTGTCCAACCTTGTTCACCTGATTGTTGAAGTGCCCCTGCTGTAAGTATCTCCCTCGTTTGCATACAAGTATGTATAAATGTGTGTGTGTGTGAGGGGAGATTGAATTAAAACACCCTCCTGTGTCTCACGTTCACTGAAAAGGTCAGTCATGCAAGAGTGATTCTGATACACTGTGATAAGACATTTAATGCCATCAGCTTGTTTATACTTCTGTCCCCACACACTGAGCTACTGATGTGACAGGTGCTTCTCCAAGATCACTTGTTTGACATATATCAGCATCATATCACATAAATATATCCCTTTTGCTCAGTTTCTCACTCAGCTTGTCTTTTAGTTTGAGTTGTTTGTTTTTGCTGGTGTGTTTTTTTTCTTCGTTACGGATGTTTTTTGCGTTGCGATGTGCCTCAGGAGGTTTGTCATTGATCCGTTAATGAAAAGCAGTTTTGTGAAAAAAGTGTGGCTCCGTGTGCGTGCGGTGCTTGTCTATTCGCTTCTTGATTCATTAACCAAGAAAAGATGAAATCCATTATGGAACATGCCAAACTGGCATGCTGAAGCTCTGAGCTGGCATCACGATGAACTGGAAGCGATGTAACTGGAACAACTAAAGAAAGACAGAACGTGTTGGTTGTTTAGGGGAAGAGAAGAGGCTTGAAATGAAAGTTTAGGAGCGTTTCCAATGAGTGGGAGAGCAGAGAACATAATGTTTGAAAAATGGTATCAGCCTTTATTCCCACTGGGCAACGTGCACGCGAACACACTCTGAATGTTGAATTTTTCAGCGCGCTAGCTTATCAATGGGTGAATTATTTGACTGACAGTCTGTCAGAGGGAGATATACAAACACACAGTATGTGCGTCTCTGTACAGAAAAATCTCCTCTGAACTTCACACAAGCTTGTCCAGAGTGTCAAAACAAAATCACAGAAACATGACTGACATTTGCTATTTCCTTGACACAGCATCTTCGACTTCTCCTCTGTTTTTTCTTCTCTATAGTGTGTCATTCTTGACATCCCCCTCTCACCGCCTGCCAACCAAACTCCTCTGCTCTCTCTCTCTCTCTCTCTCTCTCTCTCTGTCTCCCCCCTTTCCTATTTCGCTCCTTTTCTTCTGTTGTCTCTGGACATCAAACCCTGGCTCTTGTGTAAATGCGTTCAACATTCCAACATTATTCATTGTTCCAAGCTTAAAGACTCTCCCTGTTTTTCTTCCCTTCACCACTTTGTGGCTGTCAGCCCATTTCCTCTGTACGTGCTCCCGATTTGGATGGGAATCTTACCATTCTTTTGGTTTAGCTTTCCCAAATCCCGAGCAGACACGTGCACCTTTTGTGGTTTTGTTTCACAAGAGAGACAGATTTTCCACTTAGTTGTGGAGCTGAAACGATTTGTCGAGTAATTGATTTGCCACCTGACAAGAAAAGCAAATTTCTGATAATCTGTTAATTATTCATGCAGTAATTCTATAAGCGATACATCAAAAAAAAGGAAAACTGAATGTTGAAAGAATTTGGACTGTCGATCAGATAAAACAAACAACTGCAGAGCGTCCCATTGGGATTTGGTTAAACTGAGATGAGCATTTTTACACACGTTTCTGTTGTACAATGGCCTCAGCATGATATAACTAAATTGGTGACTAAACTGCATATGTTTTGCTCTTTCTCACATTTGCCTGATGAAGACCCAGCAAGGACAAAACACTGCCTCTTTTCCAGTCGAGTACATTTTTCGAAAGCTGTAATCCAGTGTGCGGACACATTTTTCTACTCTTATGCTACTCCTGATTGAAATATAACACAGGATGCACACACACACACTCACACACACACCTTTTTATTTCAGTGTGACAGAATTAAGTGCATGAAAGTGAGAGGATAACACTTGGGTAAAAGCCACAACAGTACGTACAGTATTCATGTGTCAGGAAGTGTCGGATGTTTAACCTTCACTGTTTGATTAGAGTTTAATGCTTAAAGGCTGTTTTCACATTCTTCTGCTGAAAGGGAAAGGTTTTTTTTCTGTGCTTACCAGGGCTGCAGCTAATAATTATTTTCATCGTCGATTCATCTGTCAATCATTTTCTTAATGAATCGATTGGGTATTTGGTCCATAAAATGTGAAGCATGTTGATTAGCGATTCCCAAAAAATGTCTTGTTTTGTCCACAAAACAAAGATACTCAGTTTACTGTCGCAGTGAAGAGGCTGGATTTAGAGGATTTTTTTTTTCTTGAATAATCACTCTAACTGATCGATCGACTATAAAAAAAATGGTTGACGGTTAATTAAGAGTTGACAACGAATTGATCAATGTAGGTCACGTTTGAGGTAAAGACATGTGCATATATATGAGATTCATTTCTTAGCGTCTCTGCTAGTTATGTACACCTCCAGTGCACTGAGAATGGATTTTTCAACGAAGTGAGAGATGTGTCTTGAAATGAAAAATATTAGCATATTTATAGAATCTGGATTTTTCATTACATAAGACACAAATTGCTATTCCCTGCAAAATGTTTTTTTTTTAATGCTCAGAACTCGTCTGGAGGGAATCATTAGGCTTAACAAACACGTAGCGTTGGAAAGTCACTCTTATGTCTTATGCCACCTTCCTCCAGGGAGTTACAATGCCTTGGTGTCCCTTCATAAATTGATATACACAACACTGCAAATGAGATACAGCGTATGATCCTGCTAGTTTTAGAGGCTTGCTGAACACACATATGTAGAAATTATCTGGTGCAGACACGTGAGCCTATGAAGCTGTGTTATGAGAGATTATCATTCATGCACATTAACTCTCGGTGTTATCTGTTCTTCTAGTGACATCACCTATAGCATCCTGTTTGAAGCAGTGACCACGCTGCTGGTGTTCTTCTCCTATCAGCTCTTCCACAAAGACATCCTCCGTGATGGAATAATCTACCAGCACATCATGAAGGGACGCTGGTGAGGAAAAAAAAACCTTTCTTGAAACTCTAAGCTGAACCATACAATCAAGTTTGAATGAAGATAAAAGTAAAACAATGTTACTGTCGCCTGCCTTAGGAACTGGGTCGCCCACAATACGTCAGTGACTTTTTCTTTTTGAATGCAATCCCAGATAATTTGGGCTCTCCTCCAATCAAACGTGACACCGTCTGATCCACTCTGATACAGTTGGTCTGTCTTTGTGCTTTCAGACAATCTCATGTTCGAAACTTTGTCTTCACGTGCCATGTCCTTGATAATAAAAGGACAAAAAGGAACAACTGTAGCCAACTGCAGTCTTGATCTCCACCGTTATTTTATAGTCTGAGATTGCGAGCATGTAATAGTAATTCCAAACTTTAAAAAGTAAAATGTGTTGGTCATGCAACTTACACATTTCTAATTAAAGTAAAATAAAACCACTGTATGATGCTGACATGTAGTGTGAAATGGTTTGAACCTTATTTCACTTGAATAGTAGTAGTTTGGATACATGCTGAAACACTCAATATGTTTTGTGTAGTAATGACTTAGATGGGTGGACAGAGGAAGGAGCTAATATTCTTTTAGGACTCTCATAGCGTCAGAGCAAACGGGAGCACTTTGAGTTAATTTCCACTGAGGTAAAAAAAAAATTATTGTTTGCAAAACAGCTTAATATGCTATCTAAAATCATTTAGTCTATCAAGAAAGTATAGCAAAAACTCTGATTGTAGACACTGTGCGCTGCAAATTACAGCTTATGTGATGCAGAAAGAGCAGAAACTCAAACTGACACCTGATATAGACACATGTGGACTGAGAGTAGGATCCGACTGTCGACACACACCTGTATTTACATGTCTGGGCTTTGCTTTTTGTTATTCTTGGAAGCGGAGGATGCGATTATCAGCTACTAGGAAAGCATTATAGTCTCCATGTTGCCGCTTTTCAGCAAATTGATCAAAGTCTCACATGTCCCAATTGTGTGATTTTTCAGTTTTGAACTGCTAAGATTGTTCATTTTGCTATGACTGTTTTATAACAACCACATATCACAATAAAAATACATTTTCACCATATGTGACCTTTACTGTCAAGGCCAAGGGAGTAATTCAGATTGTATTCATATAGTAATTAGATTTGCGCGTCTGTTGAGCAAGTGAGGAACCCTTAAAAAAAATCACAATCAGAACAATTCCACTGTTCCAGGTAACCTCAGTGCTATTATTTTGAAAACTTTTGCAGCTGAACTTGTGCGTGTCACAGCCTATTTTCCCATGTTCTATAGACGACTGCATAATTGTTGAAATGTGGAAGGCTTCGCATAATATACCTCTAACAAAAAAAAGGTATTCTGCGGAACACCGTGATAGTAGCCTTAACCTTTAGTTTGAAGAAAACGTTTGGGTCATCACTTTGCACAGAAGTGAAATCGTACAGACGATGCAGCTGTAGCATTTACTGACCTTATTTTAAAGAGTTTAGATAAAGCTAAGAGCATAGTTATAGGGCTGTTTTCTAGGAATGTGCATACATGTGCATTCAGCACAGTTGTAGGCCAGGTGTATGTTTTGCTGTTAAGATACAGGCTAAACTGAATGTGAAAGCAAACAATGGGCCTGAGTCCACTGCAGCTGCTTGTATATATAATTCTGATCAGTCTTTCTAACTTCTTATAACTATGTACAAGTTTCTAGCTTGCTTTTTAAACCCATTTGCCTTTCTTTTCCCCAGTTTGTGTTTAACCAGTCGACTGGTGAAGACGCTGCTCTACAACTTCATCAGGCAGGAGAAGTGTCCTCCTGCAACCCATATTTTTGAGCCAAAAGCTGAAGGCGGCTTGCTTTATGGCCTGGCGTCAGGGGTGGCAAGTACGAGAACACACACTCACACACAAAAACAAAAGGAATACTAAAGGAATTACTAACATAATTCTGGGCAATTATTTATATCAATTCAGATTAAACTAACTCAACAACAATCTTTCTATCACGGAGTTTGCATTCAAAAGTTAAAATGACAGTTTTAAATGGTTCCCAGAACTACCTGTGCATTTCTGTTAAATTTTGCAAAGTTGCATCCTGGATCAACTTTCATCAGTTTCTTTTAGCATTGGAAGACTGTAATGAACATTTCAGATGCAGTCACATTCGTGTTTTCCTTCCAAACATGTGACTCTCTAAAACAAAGCAGTGTCTCCTCAAGACGCCGTTTCCAATTTTATAGCCTTAGTTTGGACATGACTGGTGAGCAGTTCATCCAAAGACTGATCTGTTTCTTTATCAGATTGTTTCATTTATGTGATTTTTCAGTCCCCTGCAGACATGAAATAAATCAAGTATTTCCCAAGGGAAAAATGTGAAAAGCTGGAAAAAATTCAACGTCACATTGTGTCGTGTAAATACACGTTCTTTTTCTTAACTTCTTGTAAACAGGCTGCTTGCTTCTTGCTCATCATGACCACTTGTGTTGTTCACACGTTATGCACTTTGCTCAAGTGATGTCGCCACAAATCTCACGTCTAAATCAAACTGGTGTATGCATAAAAATGAGTCTAGAAATAAACGTGATTAATGTGAGAAATTGCTTTGTGAGCCATGCTAACAGCCATGGCAATACGGATGAAAATGATGAATCGAAAATGAACAGAGCACGTTGTGTGTATTAGATTGGTAATGTGCTGTGTGTGTGTGTGTGTGTGTATTGAATGCATGTTTGTTTGAGTGTGAGAATAGGGCTGGGTTTCCCCCCACAGATAAATGCTCTTTGTCGGTTGTTGGTGGCAGATTCCTATCAGTGAGCCATCACCATTCAACCCAGCCTGTCTGTCTGTGGCCAGTGATCGGCTCGATGAGTTATGGTGCCCTGTCCTGTTCTGTAATCCCCTAGAGCCTGTCTGTCTGCAGCCGCCTCCCTTATACACACACGCGCAGACCAACAAAGACACAAGCTCTCTTATACTCAGAGCTCAGAAACAACACTTGTTTTCTTTCTCTGTCTCTCTGTCTCCAATGCGTTCAGGCGTTTGGGGTTCACAGAAAACACAACAAATGGGTGTTGTTCTCTGGTAACGTCAAATATCAGATGAATTCCTTGAACTTTGTAGCATTATCAAATGTTCAGCTCAAAGTCGTTTTTATTGCTTGCGGTTTGTGTTGCTCAGCCTGTAAATGCAGTTGCATAATGTGTTCAGTTGCCATAGAGGAGCTTTTTCAAATTGCAGAAAATAACGCTTGATGATGTCATCAAGCTTGGCCGTAGAGATTAAAGAAGACTAAGAGTCTTGAGCCATGTGAGCCTGTACTTAGACATAATGGTGCTTTGAGCTGCATGCTAGCATTCAGGTTGAACGGGTTTAGTCCATCATGTTCGCATGTTAAACTTCACTAAGTAGCACAAATTACAGCTGAGGCTGGTGGGAATGCAGTTCGTTTGGTCATAAACCAAATTATTGGACAAACTTAAATTTTAACCTAATGGCGGTGCTAGAGGAAAAGTCAAGGGATGACAAAGGTTCATGAAGGTTTGTACCAAATGACATGGCAATCTACCTGATAAATGTTGACACAGTTCACTCAAAACCACATAAAACAACCTTATCGTTGAAGAAACGTCTTATGATCACCAAACGATGTTGAACAGACATCTTTCGAAAAGTCAGTGTTGCAAACTAATGATGTATCGCACACACAGAATCACTATGGAAAGTGCAGCATCCAGAGTTTTTGGAGATACTAAAGTCAGGATTTCACTTTCTGCTTCCATTTTGATTATTAATTTCTCATTTTCTATCTGTTGTGAGTCTTCCAACTTTATAAAAAGGCAATACGAGGTCACTGAAGCACCGCCAAGTTCATGTCTGTGCAGCATCAAAATAAACCCTTGAAACATGCTTGAATTGTGTAAGCTGTGTCTTTGCATGTAAAGTCTTTATTGACTTTTGTCAGAGTTTCCTTATTGCTGAGGGGTGATGCACTTAAAAAAACAATCTTTGTCCAAGCAGTGATAATGTAACTGTAACAAAAATGCATCCAGAGTTAAAGACCACAGTGAGAGATTCAACAACATTAGCTCATTTCTGAAGTATAGTAGTTTATTTTAATATTTGAATGAGATAAATGGAAATAATTGTATGTCTGGGACTGTAGAAATATGCATTGTATACATTCACAATTGCTCCTGAATTTCAAATAGGCAAAACATGTATATACAATGTACATTTTTTGCAACTTGCAAGCGCAGACTTTAATAAATCTACACACAGAGCTCAGGACAAGAGAGAACATTGCATACATTTTTAAAATGTATTGAGAAATTACTCTTTCTGATGGTGTGACATATAGAATAACTCATGTGTACACATCTGTATTGTAGATGAGCTGTTTTTTTCCCAAAGGGTAGGATGTCTCCTCCTGGAAGCATCTGCAGGGGGGATTATCACCCAGACTCTCTCCTCTCCTCTCCTCTCCTCTCCTCTCCTCTCCTCTCCTCTGCTGAGCTTGATGATAATGTCGTTAGTTTAGCAGGTATTTAGTCAACTAAGGGATTGTGCAAATTCAAATATAAAACTTTTTATTCATGCTACGTGAAAAGATCACCAAAAGTATTACATCTTCAGTGGACATGCAAGGACAAAAATTTCAAGGCAACCAATTAATAATTGCTGTGAAATTTCAATAAAAGCCTAAGCATCTAATGGGCATTTCAGTCTGAATCAAAGTGCTGTGACAACTGACCAGCACTACCATCCTTGGAGCAGTGCCACTAGTATCGCTAAAACGTTGAACTCGATCTGTCACTCACACATACAGTAATAATTGAGCTGTTCATGTGAAGGTTTTATGTGCGTCAACGGACACACATAAAGATCATTCCTGCGCAGTGCTCATGTTCCACATCTCTGGCATAGTGATGCAGCTCTGGAGGAGTTCTGCAGGAACTCTGCTTAACTGCAATCTACACTATTAATAATCAGTTAGTTACAGCCCCACAAACACAAACAGAGTGTTGTGTCTACTTGCGTGTGTTAAGACATTATTAGTACACATTAATAGCACACTTGCCATAAAATGTTATGTTTACGGCTCATACTGGGGACTGCTGTCATTTGGGTGTTAGTGGTGGAGGATTTGTTTTAGCGATAACTTTTTATTACGATTAGAATAGCAGTTTTATAAAAAGTCTGTGGAATGTTCTCATATGTTGTGTATGTTTATGTTAGAAGGATTCTGGATTGGGTTTGGATAAAAGTGCTTGGAGCATTTTTTGTGTGTGTGTGTGTGAGTTTATCAGAACAGTGTGTTTATTTATTTGTCTGGACAGCGTGTTTCTCTACTTGCATTTTTTGGATAATCATCACAATTTTGGCAAACTTGTCCATGTGCATGTATCTGCGTGCTTGGCCGAAGCACTGGCCTAAAGCCCTGATGTCGTATTTCATTCACTGTTATGCAAGTGAATAAGTAAGTAGCACATTGTGTCTGTCTCTGTTCACCAGCCGTCCCTGTCTCTGTCTGCAGTGTTCTTAGCTGTAACTGTGTGAAATCATTTCCAACTCCAGCCATGTTAGCAGCACGGTTCTATCATTGGAATCCGAAAACAAGTGCTGCTTATATATTAAGTGGATACGTGTCCACTTAGTTAGGACCCAAAATAAGTGCTGTCTGCTAACAAAAGCACCATTAAATGCATCACTGGGAAAAGTGTGAGGGCTAAACAATATGTTTTAAAAAATTATATTTCGATAGTGGGCTGCAAGGTGGTGCGGTGGTTAGCACCGTTGCCTCGCAGCAACAAGGTTGCTGGTCTGCGTCCTGGTGGGGACACCCGTGCAGCGTGGGTTCTCTCTGGGTTCTCTGACTTTCTCCCACACAGTCCAAAACCATGTTGAGGTTAATTGGTGATTCTAAATTGTCTGTAGGTGTGAATGTGAGTGTGCTTGGTTGTCTGTCTCTAAGTGTAGTCCTGTGATAGACTGGTGACCTGTCCAGGGTGTCTCCTGCCTTCACCCTAAGTCAGCTGGGATAGACTCCAGCCCCCTCTGCGACCCTAGTGAGGATTAAGTGATGGATGGATGGATGGATGGATGGATGTTTCGACAGTCATTTTAGTGAGAATGGTCATTTTAAAATGTCTTTTCCACTAAAACAAACATAACCATGATGATGTAATGTTCGCTTACATCTGGAGAATATGGCTTGTGAGTCAGGGTATCTCCGTAACACTGCAATGCTTCCTTTATAATGATATTTTTCTTTTATAGAGAAATTGCAGCTGCTTTGATTTGGTACGATTTCAATAAGATTTCGAACAACTGATCAACCCTTACGTGTGTTTGATGATGTGAGATTTGATAAGAGGTCAGAGCAGATGTCATTCAGCAGATGTGGATTTAGAAGAGAAGGTTTTCGGTCTGCTTAATGTTTTGATTTGAATACAGGAATTGAATTTGTGCCCGCAGTAATGTCTGGGATGGTGATAGTCATTATGTAATACTACAATTTGGACATCATGGCTTTCTGTCCTAAAGCCAAGGCTTAGTTAACAGCTCGTGTTCTGTTGCAGAAACTTGCTTTAATTTGGTCTGTTTTAGAGCACACTTAGTAGATTGTCATATACATCTCCTGTGTGCACATGTTATATTTAGGAAGACTTCTACAGGAAAACTAAGACTTTTCAGTTGCAGATGTCTTGTGTGTCTCATAGTAGGATGCCTTCAAAGCCTCTAAGTCCTGAAGCCCACATTCTGATTTCAGCGTGCCAGCCTCTGTGTCAGTGTGTGACCTTCTCTTTTCCTCACTTTCCCCTTCCCCTTCCTCCTCGTCGCGTCCTCCTCCTCTTTTTCCACTGGGCGGCTGGCCAGGGCCGGAGCAGCCTAAGCAGTGTAGCATTATTGGGTTTATGTGGTGGGCAGGCAGACAGGCAGAGGGAACCGAGCCAGATGGATAACAAACAGCACCCACTAAGGTAAAATAGAGCTCTGTGAATGTGTGTGTGTGAGAGTGCAGGAAATGTGGCTGCCAGACCGGGCTCCCTGACACCGCCGGGCCAGTCACTGTGGTGCCAGTGATGAGATGAACGGGGCTCCGTCACAACTTGGCCCTCTCTCACCAGATCTTGTTTTCTCTCACACTCACTTCTCTTTCTGGTCTGCAGAAAGAAAGAAGATTGTTGTGTGTGTGTGTGGAGAGGGAGACGGAGACAGACTGACCAGTCAGATTATGTCATTTCTCTCTTGGGGTTTTCTTTTTTGTTGTGAAAGCTCTTTGTTGATATCCTTTCGCCCAGATATAAACAAATTCTTTCCCCTCCTCTCTGGAATTGCATACACATTCATACAAACAAATGTTGAAGTAGCTCTTTGCTGGCCATTAGTGAATTTAGAGGCAAACCAACATATAAACATTAAGGGAGCAGAAAGAAAAAGTGCCTTTATTTCATCATGCATAATTGTTTCAGACTTTCACATCATAATGATCAGTCTTAAGTCGCTCCTTTGTCGTGGAGAAAACACCAGGGTGTCACCTGTCATTTTCTCACCAAGTTAATGTTTTGTAATGTCTGCTCGCTTCGCTTGGTCCTTTCAGGGTCAGAAACCAAAAAAACAGGCTTCATAACAGGCATCACGATGGCTTTTCAACATTATTCTTACATCAAGGAGAGAATATGTAAATTCAGCCAGAGACTCGTTCTGCTCTTCCAGCCTTCACCTCTGGATGGCAACATATCTACTTGTCTTCTCGACGAAGCCAGTAGCTTGATCAAGTGTAGCCCTACAGCACACTGTCTCTCACTAGTCGTCGGTTTGTGCACTTTGTCTGGCTAGACGTGCAGGAGCCAGCGACTGTCATCTGTGTACCTTGGTGTTCATGTTTCTCGTGCTTCTCGTGATGCCTGAAAGCGCCAGCACTTCAGTGGCTCTGTAAGAAATTCTCTCATCTCTCCCTCTCTCATCCCCCAGCAAAAAAAACTAACCCCACTCCGGTTGGCCAGTAGTTCCAGTTTCTCTTTGTTCTGTGGCGCCGTCTATGTTGTTTCAAATTTCAGGTGCTGCAAACCATTGTGCGTAACTCCATTGTGCCCACTTTGGCCTTGATTACATCAGTCTGACTGCACATACTCTTTTGCAACTCGTTTCCCAGTGAAGTGTAAATCAGTTATACAGCTTAAGAGCTGTCAGTTGTGAGACTACTTCAGTGCTTTCTATAAAAAGGTTGAGATAGACAAACTAACTGCTTTTCTTAATGACATCCTCCTTAATTACCCATCTGTTGACACACAGAGCTGCAGTTTTCAATCCAGTCTTGAAACTTCTCACTGTACTGAAGTGTAGCCTAGACTTAAACCTACTTAAATGACAATGGGAAAGGAGTCACCCGACACTCATCTTCATGGAGCTTTATAGTCGGTTTCAGCTCACTGTTTTACTGTGTTGCTCGCAACTTTACTGTTTTGTTTCACGCTTACTGCTCTCAAATCATCGTTTTCAGAAATATTCGGATACCCAATAGCACTTTCAGTAACGATCTTAGTTGCAGTGTTTCAGTGTTTAGCTTGCCGTCCTTTTGTGTGCAGAACTGCTTGGCAGCATGTAGTCTACCAGTTTCTGTAATAGCTGTGGTGAAAGTTTCCACCATGTTTCAGACAGCAAAGACTTCGGTTCACCCACATAGAGCATTGACAAGCTAGCGTTTCTTCTTGGGCATACCATAGGCGGTCTATGGGATTTAGGTCAGGGCTCTGAGAGGGCAATTCTAAGACTTTGATTTTCTTCTGAGCACAATATTTCAGCAGGCGGCTGGCAGCCCCCAGACTTTTCCCACCTCCATGCTTTACTGTACTCCAGTGCAGTCTGGTTGAAATTCTTCTCCTGGCATTCTTCACACATACAATTCTACCATCAGATCCTTGTAGGTTGAATTTTGACTCATCTGAAAATGTCTAAAAGCTGCTGTCTCTCTATGCATGTTCTCTTGTAAATTTAATCCTGGTTGATGTTTTCTGTGAGCTTATGAACAGTTTCTGCCGTATCTCTTCCCCTCCGTGCTCGTACTCGTTGATCCTACTTCAAATGGTCAGTGAACTGAGGTGTTTGATAATTTTCTCTGAAGCCATCCTTGCTGCCGCTTCAAGCCTGTTTTTCTTAATTTTATGGTTATTTTATGCGGTCCAGTCTGCTGCGGTATTCCTGGGTTTGCCTGTGTGGCTATTTAAAAATCTGCCCAACTGTGGTGGATGGATAATTTAGGTTTTTGCTGATCTTTCAAATACAGTGGTCTCCATTTTTCTGAGCTGACTTCACTTGTCTTTGCCGTTATTGTCGTTGCCTTTAATTAACTAGTTCCAAGATAATTTATATGGGATGTATAAAGTCGGTTACCCTTCACTCAGAGCAACCCAGATGCTGTTTGCCTTTTTAATCACAAGCAGCTTCTTCTAGGTTTGATGATTTGAACTAGTTCACATGCTGTATTGTAGACATTTGTATTTGAAGTCTTTTTTTTTTGAAGGTGTTTTATTTAATGCATTAAATACCAGTTTATTTAATGTTATTGAAATGACCTCATTAATCTTGTGATTGGTAGTTTAACTGCCCAAATACTTTCTAGCGCCACTGATGGTCAATATTGTGTTCACAGCTTGTTTGGTATTGCAGATTTGAGGAATATTTATTTATTTCTATTTATTTTTTCATGTGTTGTATGTATTTTTATCTGTGTCCAACTTGTGTCTGTCTCTCTGCAGGTGGTCTGTGGAGTGTCTTCACATTGGGTGGAGCTGGCAGCAAAGCTGGAATAGACCAGGAACACAACCCCTTACCTTTGTCCAATCAGAGCCTTCTGTTACTGCTGGTACTAGCCAATCTGACAGATGGACCTGACTGGCCCAACCCCTACCGCCAGGCTATTACTTGTTTCAGAAACACACAAGGTACAGTCGACATCCTGTTCATTTTCTCTGCTATTCGTATTTGAGACATTTGTTTATGTGTATGACATGTATGAGAGGGCACGATGAAATGTGATAGTAACCCTGCTACTATTTACCCTTGACCATGTAGACACATCATCACTGCCTGTGGAGCAACCTCACACTTTCCAGATCAATTTCAACAGTCTGTACACAGCTCTGTGTGAGCAGCAACGCTCTGACCAAGCCACACTACTACTGTACACCCTGCTTCACCAGAATGCCAACATGAGGACATACATGCTGTCAAGAACTGACATGGACAATCTGGTGGGTAGGATGGGAACGGCGAGACTCTGCTTTCATTTTTTCCTGCCTGAACTTGACATTTTCAGCAAGGTGGAAGCGGAAAGTAGTGTTAAAAATCAATCAAAGTGTGTTTGGATAATGCTTAATAAAACACATTATGCAGTCCTTCCATGCACACTTTGGTATGGCCATGAAATTGTTTCATCTAGGACCAATGCCATGGCTCAGTAAACAGGCAAGATGTATGCAGTAGCAGCTGGGGCTTTTCTGTCCATGTGGGACAGTGCCAGTTATTCCTTACAGCAGAATGAATGTTCTAAGGCATTTAGTGAATGAAAATCAATCTTTAGCTCAGCATGTCAGATGGAATTGCATATGAAAATGGTAGACATTCACAAATGAGGCTCTTTCATGTAACGTGGTCTCATTGGTTGGAATATGAAAGTAAGAACAATTACTCAAGTAACTGTAAAAGAAAATTACGGTAAAGTAGTGACGATTCCCAAACGTGCAGGAAACAGTCTTTACTTAGTCACGTTTTCAAACTGTCATGCTATTAAATTCTCTCCATGACCTTTCTGTGTAACTCCCTATTTATAGCTTCAATAAAATATCATCATTAACAGATCTAGACTGAGATTATTAAGCAGGGGGGACAACTAATGAGTCTAGCCGCTTTCTCTGCTGAACAATAAAGCATCACTGCATGTCAGCATAATGAGCTAACGCTGCTACTGTGTATATTCATTGCTCACCATGCCAACTACGAGCTGCTATCACCCTGACAATGAGTCTGAGAATTTGATCTTTTAGCTGCCGTTGTCTTTAGCCAATCACTTGCAGCATCTGTTCTACTTTCTGCCTTCCATAAATAGAATAAATTATGCCTTTTTGAAATGGGTTTTGTCGAGCAAAATCTCTTTAGTGGCATCTGTTACACAACTGCAGTCTGTCCTATCATGTTGTCTAGGTGTGCCACATCTCAGGCCAAGCATTTAGAAAGAACATGGTTAGTTAGTGATAATTAAAAAGTTAAAGCAAGGAACGAGAAACTGCCGGTGTTTCGCATCAGTACATGCCAACTGCTAGTTTCACTCCCTAAATGGGAACAATAGGCGATTTCCCAGTTGTGTTGAAATGTGTGGACATATCTAGTGTGGTCATGGTAAAATTTCATCTCTGGACAGATCCACATAAAATCAGAAGCTTTGTAACAAGCCCTTTTTTTTCCCCTGCTCTCCCACCGTGCCTTTCAGGTGTTGCCCATCCTCGAGATCCTTTACCACGTAGAGGAAAGAAATTCTCATCATGTCTACATGGCCCTCATTATTCTCCTCATCCTTACAGAGGATGATGCCTTCAATCGCTCCATCCACGAGGTGGTAGGTAGACACACATTTTATTACACGCTTCACCTCTCAGCTATTGCTAGTGTATTATTTGCAGTCGTTGGAATAAATTGGAGCATTCCTGATGTTTTTAACAGGTATGTCGCCTTTTTTCCCCCTCTCTCTCTTACACAGATATTGAAGAACATCTCATGGTATACAGAGAGGTCATTGACGGAGATCTCGCTCGGCAGTTTGCTCATCCTGGTGGTCATCCGCACCATCCAGTTCAACATGACCCGGACAAGGGTAAAATAAACACGCCATCATGCACACAGTGGACTTACAAGACGTATTGTTAGAACAACAACACAGTAATATCCACACACTGCATTTGTCATGATGGGACTGTGAAGAGTGAAGTAACACTAAATTGCAGTTTAATAGTAAGATCATTGTTGTGTCTATGCTGTGCGTCCTATCTAGGATAAGTACCTACACACCAACTGTCTTGCCGCACTTGCCAACATGTCAGCCCAGTTTCGATGTCTCCACCAGTATGCTGCCCAGCGCATCATCAGGTGAGGACGTACTGTCAATGTACAAATGACAACGCAAATGGAGCAGAACAAAGGGTGATAGAATATGTTAAATGACATTTCTGTTTTCGTATCCTTTCATTTTCCATGTGACCTATCCCAGCACCCACCTTGTTCTTGTAAATGTATTCTGTGGCAAAAAAAAAAAAAGGTCAAGTCAAATACTAGGGTCAATGGCCGAGTCTATTTTTATTCTATGCAACACTTGAATATGGTATCTGTAGCGGTTTAAATTGAAATCTAGATTTGGACCATCCTTATTTTTGTCCATCTTTACACTATATATTACCACTAGGAGTGAGTAACATGAATGCAGTTGTCAATGTTTTGTCATGTTATTTCACAGCATCGATTGAGAAGTGGTCAAAAGGTTAAAATAACAACGCAGAAATGTGTTTTTGGCCTGGAAAACACAAGTTGTTCATCACTATGATAGAAAAAGGCAAAGCGAGAATACAACATTGCTTTAAAACAGCCTTGCACTTTGCAGTTCCTTCAGTAAAGCACACCAAGGAATGTTAAGTAAATAACTACCGTCACTGTAACAATATAAATGGTGTTGCAGACATTAGAGAGTATACAGAGTACAGACTTTTTTCCATGCTCCAGTTTTCTACCTCTCTGTCTGACAGTGTGAATAAGTCTGTCAAAAGTGCAGCAATTGCATAGAAAGTGTTGTGCTTTGCGACACTGCTGTATTGTCGTGCACTGAAATCAATAGCGTAAGCAGTGAATATGACTGTGTCTTCAACTTTTTCAATTGCATGTAAGCAGCAGACCTTGGGACAATGACTGTGTGGCTGAAAAAGAAGCCAGAATGGGTAGAAAGGATGGAAATTCTAATTCATACACAAACATACTCGTTCATTTTAATGATTCATCTTGAAACAGCACTAAATATTTATCGTTATGGGAACCTGACAGCAGCTGCAGCAGAGAAGACTAAGAAAAAAAAAAAAGAAGTATTGAGTAGTGTGTCTGTGCAGACAAGAACATTATGTAACATGAGGGAAAGGGTTTGGCTCATGAGGAGACGGAAGAAGAGGACAAGGTCCAAACCACATACACACGGACATCGAGTCTTTTATGTCTGTTTGTTAACTCTAGGCACAGGGGAAGAAATGTTTCCTTCCCTGAAGACGTGCACACATTCACGCACATTCAAGGATCCTCTTATCTGGCCGCCTGTGTCTCTCTCTCCATATCTGTGACTCTGTTGTTTTGAGTCAGAGAGGAACACTGTCTGTGAATGTGCACATGTCTGTCCAGTACTGATGTAGAGCAACTGACTCCATGTCTGATGATAATGATAATGATGATGACTATGATGGCCTGGGCTGGGCTAAACTGGCTGGCTGGCTGGCTGGCTGCTAGATAAAGGGAATTTCCTGCCAGGAATTTCCAAATGTCAGCCAGACAGCACTGAACTCTGCTCCATAATTTACTCTCAGAGAGAATCGTGGCTGGTACTGTTTATTTACAGGCAGCAGTGGGTTGATTTACCCCCACCACCACCTCCACCACCACCACCTCCACCTCTACCACAACACATCTTTCCATATTACTTTATGTTCATCCTTGCCCTGCATCAATATTTCCTCTCTGCTGCATTGTTCTTCCACTGTTGACTCGGTCCATACTTATGTGGCTACTCATTCAGTCTGCAGACTCAACAAACACAGTTTAAATCACAGGCTGGGATTAATGATTATCTTCACTATGAGTCTGCCAGTTATTTTATGGATTCATTGATTCATTATTTGGTCCTGAGACCACATAGTCGTCAGCATCAGATAGCTAGGTTACGATCACAGAAGAAATTGGTATTTGAAAAGCTGGAATCAAAGAATGTTTTCAATTTTGCTTAAAAAAATGTAATTACAACCAAATAATTAATTTTCTGTCAGTCGAAACACAATACATTGTTCACAGTAGCTAACAGTATTGCACTTTTCCCTCACCAAGCCTTTTCTGTTAACCTAATTCGATAATTTTTTCAAATTTATTGCCAAAAGAAATCTTTTAAAAATATAAGGAAAGGGTTTCATGCTTTCGTGCACTGCTGTAGATTAACAAATGAACGAAAACGTGTAAGTGGGCGATAAAAAAAAAAAAAAAAACGTGTAAGGGGGGAAAAAAAAAAAAAAAAAATGGGCGATAAAAAAAAAAAACAGAATTCAATATCCAAGACTGATAACAACATAATTTGCTGTATCTGGTTTTGCTTTTTCTACTTTGCTGTGCTGCCACTCCCTTTGCATACCTCCACTCCTCCAAATACGAAGATTAAAAATCATAAATAAAAAACAGGAGTATTAGTTTTGTGTGTAGCTCCAACATTCCTGGTTCCAGACCAGACAGCAGCCATTATTGTGTGTATTCACTCTCTTTATTTCCATAATACAGTGCAAAGCATGCATGGAAAATAAGAGACACATTAGTTCATTTTCAAAACACAAATCTCATTTTTTGGCGAGCAGCAGCAATAAAATGCCACACTGTATCATAATTAATGCTCCTAACTTAATTATATAATCTTATCACATTTTCTTGAATATATTCCAATAAAGGCAACTAATAGAACTGTGCGTTTATTCACAGTCACCAAATTATTTAAATGATCTTAATGCTTGAGGAGCATTTAAGCAGAAAAGTCACCTTGATCAGAAAAATACCACAAGCTTTAAAGTTACTGTGTGAAATTAAAGTTATCTCATACATACAAATGTTCAGTCACGGAGACACAGTCATGCTCACACAGTGTGAGTCCTCAGGCCTCGGTAGAGAGCCTTTACATCTCCAGGGTGAACAACGTCTGTCATTACATCAGTCTCATAGCTGACTTTAGGATCATGCCAGCGCTGTGGAAATCTTTTGTATCGCCGTTTCCTCGACCGTGTCCGTCAGTGCCTCGTCATAACTGACGGAAGGGACAGGCCGACTAGTCACAGTGCGTTATTGTGGGCTAACGTCCCAGGTGGAACTTGGTCGGTGGTCTCTCATTTGAAACAGAAAAAAAACCCTCTCAATATGTAGAACAACAGCTCCTTGAGTAGTCGTGGCTAATAGAGCCTTTGACATTAGGTCTGAAGATGACAAGCGGACCTCCACATAGCTGCTCAGATACCTCCATTTGGCCAATTATCCCGGATAAAGAATGCTGAGGGGATTTTGTGTTTCCAGTGCTGACAGATGGACAGGTGTAGCTCTAAGGGGCTTATCAGAGCTCCGCTTGTGCATCTGAGCTTCCCTGTTTTTTGTTTTTTTTGTTGTTGGGTTTAATTTATTCTGCTTTTTTTTTTTCTCCTTGATTAACACACAAATTAAAGATTGAACACCCCTGGGTGCCAAAAGAGTGTATTAAAAAGTTGTAATTAAAGCAGAAGTTTGCTAATAATTTTAATGACACTTTTTTTTTTTTTTTTTTTACAAACAGGATAGACATAGCAAACATTTTTTCAAAGATGTGTCTCTTTTCAGATGTATTGTGCGACCACATGTGAATCAGTTTCCTGTGATAGGAACGCTGCATTAATGCTGTGTGTGTGTGTGTGTGTTGACCCACCTTATTGCTACACGCCAAGGTCAACTCAAGCAGACTCAGTGACACTTGATGTATGTCTTTGTCCTGCCGTCGGGTGCAAATCATCTATTTCCTTCACAAGCCACGGTGTACACAAACGCGTACAACACTAGTGAAACAAGTCACAGTAGAATGGGAAGAGCCACTTGCATTTACAAATAATGAGGGGGGGGAGGCAGCATGTTGTGATTGTAAATTGGTGGTAAATGAAGCATAATTTGTTGCATTTTGACACATCATTTCTAAAACAGTCTCCTGCCAGCTTCGTGATTATTTTGTTATTCCGGCACTCATTATTATTCATTATTTTTTTTTACAAGCTTCATTTAGAAATCAAACAGGTCTGACTTTAATAATAATCTGTCCTAAATAGAGGCTTCTCTCTTCAGTTGAGGTAAGTCAGAGCAGCTATTTAAGTATTTATGGCACATTAATTACAACATGTGCAGTATGATGATTGTGTATTTGGGTTCTTTGGTCTTCATTGAAGTGCATCATTCATCTGTCACCAGGGTTCTCATTCCTTTCCCTCTCTCTGTGTCTCCCCTGCAGTTTATTTGCTTTGCTTTCCAAAAAGCACAACAAGGTTTTGGAGCAGGCAACACAGTCTCTGCGAGGCAGACAGGGAGACAACACAGCCTTGCCAGACTATGTGAGTAAAACAGACACACACACACTCATTCGCTCTCAGTCTGCACTAAGTTTGTTGTTGGTTGCCAAATTATGTCTACATGGATAAGGAACAGTAATTTGACATGGGCATTTTTGACAGTGAAACAAGTAAGAGCTTACACGAATTTACATTTCAAACAGCAAGATTTCATATTGTGAAGTTTAATATTTAAAAAAAAAAACCTGTTAAAACGATTACCATTGATTCATCTTTGTGGGGTTTTCTTCAGTCAGTAATAAATTCCCGTTTTGTGAAATACCCCTCTTTCTCTTTCTTGCTGACAGTTTAACTGCTAACACTCTCACGTGTCAATTAACTATAAAGCTATATCCAGCAGCCAGTTAGCTTAGCATAGTCCCTTAATAGCGTCCTGAACACTAAATTGTTCTGCGTGTATAATGCCTTTAAAGCCACAAATTGTCATTTTTACCATTACGCAAACCAGACACAACATGTGAGCTTTAGAGGTGCAGGATAACTTTGGATAAAGCCAGGCTAGCTGTTTCTCAAAGACTATATATTAAAGGTGGAGGACGCAACTGTGACTCCACCCATTGGTTTGTGTACTAATGTTGTGAAGGCTCAAGTTTGGAATTTGACCATTTTTGTCTTTTGAAACCCGACATAAAGTGTGAGGGATGGATTTAAAATTACATGGACACATGTAGTAGCACTTTGTCAATCACAAAGTAGCCATGTCCTAAAGCCTATTTTATCATATGTTTTATTTTAAATGGCACAAATACTTACAGAATTAACATTATGCTGCATCATTCCATCAACTTATACCATAACTTAATGAGGATAGTGTTTACTGAGGTAACAAATCAAGTGAGAGCTATGATCACTTTCTCATAATCTTTAATACAATTGGGCTTCTTTTTGCAACCAGAGAGGTCGCCCCCTGCTGGTCATTAGAAAGAATGCAGGTTTCAGGTACTTCTACAATGGCTTCACTTTTCAGACGGTTACATTCATAATTTTTATGCAACCTTTGTTGTAAACTAGCCAACCAGATGCTGCTGGCTGTAGCTGTATGCTTAGCGTGCAAACATAACTGGTTTTGACCTTCTCGTCAAACTCTTGGCAAGAAAGCAAATAAGTCCACTTCCCCAAATGTCTGATTGTTTAAATCTTTTTCATCAGTCAAATCAGTGGTGAAAGCAACCCTAATAATGTTGTCCTAACATTTTATAGCAGATTGAAAAAGAAGCAATAATGAAAGCGTGTCATTTCTTAGCAGTAACCAGCAAAATATTTATATAAATACTGAGTTACTACAACCAACAAGAACATCATGATCTGCTCGACTTGATTTGGTCTGCTTTCTACCGTCTTCATCATGTTTTCCTAGCCCTCATTGTTTGCTGTGTAAAAAAAAAGAAAAAAAAGAAATTTGCTGTATTTTGCTGCTTGCGCAATTTATACCAACCAGTATATGTTGAATGAACTATTGAGCGTTTATGAAATTGAGTGTTGCATATACAATTTTATGTCATTCACAGAGGCACCAAAGTAATACTGAAATTTCTCTCAAACTGTGTTAATCTAGAATTGAAATCTTGCGGCGGTGGAGCTTAACCCACTAAATGAATTATTATCTCGTCCTAATGCAATCTGTACATCTTAGCTGTAGCTAAGCACCTGATGAGGGCATGCTGTTGACTATTGACAAATATTGTATAACTGTATTTGCGTTCAGCCATCCCTGCCTTCAGGTCCTTCTGTCTGCCTCTCAGTCTGGCTGTCTCATTAGATTTGCATGGTTTTCGATACGTGTGTGTACGTAAACATATTTGTGTGCATGTGTTTGGAGGAGGTCCCCATAGATGCCCTTAGGTGTTGGGGAAACATGAGTGTATTTGAGTGCTCCTTCAACCATGTAGTGTCTGTCTGATGAGCCTCCTTTCAAACCGACATCTATGCACACACATAAACACACACTCATAAAAACATATAAAATGCAATTATCCAGCTTTGTTTTGATGCCTCCTTGCTCCAGGGCCTATTTTAATGCCCTATTTTATTTGCATACATGCGTAATCACACACTACGTATGACTGCAAATGTAAAAGTAAGATATAGAGAGATTACTTTGCCATGATTAAATATTCTCCTTCAAGATATTGGTTCAGCCAGCTGTTCCCATAGGAGAGTGCATTCAGAGTGAATATAATAGTAGTGAAAAATAAAATACCACAAATGCATGTGCTTAGAGTGAGGGGTCAAAGTGAAAGGTCGCCCGCACAACAGCACTGCTGCTTTTGATAGAGATTCAGTGTGTTGTTCAAGGACACATGGCTGATTTTCAGCAGGATTATTTCATGGGAATTTTACAAAGGTTTTCTCCTTGAATAGTGTCTGACATCCAGTCTGGGTCATAGACTTTTTAAGACAGAGCTGGTCAGCTTTTCTGATACCGTTATCCTTGAGCTTAGACTATACTAACTCGATGTGACATTGGTTCCCATGGCATCCGCATCGAGAAGTCAACTTTGAATTTTATTGACATCTCTTGATGAAAGGGAACATACTGTATTGTTTGACCTCTGAGCATGTGCACACACGCACACCCACCTTGAGACATGAATTGAGTTTAATTATGTCTTGGACAGCTGTTGAGTTTCATGTGCACTTTAAATAGACCTGTATCATCTGCTTTTCCCATGTCTTTGGTAATAAACATCTTAGTCTTGGGCGTTTTTGAACATTTGGTGGAATCTGTTATGCCGAGAAGAAAGGAGGCCTTCCAGCCTGGTGTCGTAATGTAATTTTCTACAGATGTTCCTGATGCTGAGACAATTATTGTTTGTGGTTTTGATTGAAATTTAATGGACAAATAACCATGAAAACTTGTTTGTCGTTTATAATCAAAAAGTCTGCACAATTATTGACATTCTCATCAGTTTGTATTTGTACTAAAAAGCAAATGCCAGCGTGCTTACACGTTAAACTAAGATGTTGTACATGGTAAACATTATACCTGCTAAACATCAGCCTGCTAACATGCCAAAGGTAGCATTTAGCTCAAAGCACTGCTCTTCTTAAGCACATTGGTATACAGCAGAGATACAATAATGAGGAGGTGTGCCATAATGTGGCTTCACCTTCAGGCTGTAAACTCGTCTATTTATATTTAAATTGAAGGTTGGCGTAGATATAGGGTTTAAAAGGTAGACCTGATCAAACAATTATTTTCATTGTTGGTCAAATATTTCCTTAACCCTTTGAACCTCAAGCATTTTCTGGAGGGGGGTTGATTCATATTTACAGCTCATTTGACACTACAATATACATTTCTGCATCTCCTTGGAACCAGCAAAACCAAAAGTTGTCTTCTACGACACAGTTATAATGAAAGAAAAAATCTGTTGATTGTTTATTTAACCACAATGGAAAAAAACCTGCAGCTTGTCTCCTATCGGCTCTGTCTAAGCACAGTCTGCAGTTCAGCCCAGTTTAGCTGAAAAGTCCCTGAATTTCTATCACATGGCTGTTTATCACAGCTGAGACACTAATGGCTTCATGGCTGCGCTAAGTAGTGCAAAATCTTTGGTTTTTACAGTCTGTTTAGAACAAATGCTTTATTGTTGGCTTTTTTTTTATAGAGACTGATTTAATAAGATTTTAAGCTCAGATTTCACACATGATATTAAGAACAACTCAACAGTTCTTCTATTTTCGAAGTGTCTGCCTCTGATAAAGAGTCTAATTTTATAGATTATTTTTTTTTTGGTTAACTGATAATATGTCTTTTAGACTTGCTGAGCAGTTCTGTTGTTCAAAGGTTAATTAACTGATTCATTTTTTGTTGTGTAAAGCTCAGAAAACAACAAAATATCTTCAAATAGCTATTTTTTTTTCGCACAGCAACACTTCAGCATGCTAATGGAACTCAATTTACTGTCAAATAAGACAGAGGAAAACACATTAAAACATTCTTGCTACACTGATTAGATCATTTATACAAAACTAAAAGAAGGTATGATTGAAAAAAAACAGAATTTATCCACTACATATCCAACAGTGACAGCTAATATAGTCGAGGAATAAAACTAGATTTTAAGTAAATATGAAGCTCATTTTTAATATCCTTAGAGAAATGAGAATATAGATGAAAAATAAACAGCTACGTGTTTAATGTAATGACGAGGAAGAGGAAGATAACTCGATACAGAAGTTAATGGTTGCAAACATTACCGTTTATCTCGACCCCCTTCCATTAGTTTTAATCTAAAACTGAAATTCCCATTAAACCGTATGCATAGCATTTCTTATCTTGACCAGTCGTAATGACCTGCTGGCGAAGGTCTATCACTGGGCCGAGACAAGTGACGTCTGAAAGAAGGGCTTCTGTCTCATTATGCCGACCGACTCCTTTGTTTCCTCCATCTCTGGCCCTCCTCTCCACCTCCGGTAGTGCTGGATGTGGCAGCGTAATTGAAAACAGCCCGCTTCGGCGTTACTCACAAACCCTTCTACTTAACTCGGGAGGTGTGGAAGTTTAGGGAACTATGGGGAGAGATAAAGAGGAGCAAAACGTGAAGAGAAACAATAGAAAGAGGAGAAGCAGGCAGAAGGAAAGGAGAGTGTAGGGGGGTTCAGGGTGGGTGTAAGTGTGTTTTTGTGACAGGCATCTGGAAACAATGTAATTTGGCCGAGTCTGGCTCTGGAGAGAGAACTAATGTTTGTTTAATGTGGGATTGTCCTGGACGTGTAATTGCTCTCTTTACGAGGGAGAGACTGAGAGGAGGATATGAAAAAAACGTCGTCAAAAGCCCTAAACTGTGGGTTAAAGCTGGGTGCATGCTGCTCATGTGTTAATGTCTCTCTCTCTTTGGCTCTGTCTCCTCCTCTGTTTTCCTCCCTCCCTCTTGATGTCTGCCTCTCGGTCGCTGTCTCTCTTTCATATATACACACCGAGAACACACCCCCTGTCCCTGAATGTGTTTGTGCTGCTGTGTCTGGTTAGCGTCAGG